TTTCGCCTTGCTCTCGTCGTCAACTTTCGGTTTCATCCACGTGCCATTGAGCACGCCTCGCTTTGTCGTGGCCTATTGGTCGTCGAGGAGGGGAGATCTCTTTAATGTCGTTCAAGTCGTCCGGTATCTCATCCGTCTCCGCATTGAGGTCGATGTTCGTGCGTGCGTCTGAAACATCGACCGAACCCGAGCCGCGCGACCTCTTCGATTGTTGTTCCGTAAATGTGTCGGTTTTATTCCACTTTGGGTCTTCCTTCACAATCTCCCAAATTTTTTTGTGCTAAAAAACATGTCCGGTCTCCACATGATATTGCTCCCTTGCCGCTCTATAAACGTCAAAATCGATCACACCACTTTGCTTGTGCGAGGAAAGCTTGTTGTAGGTGGAATTGAACTTGGTGCACTTCCTGCTTAATTGAGTCCATTTGCTACTCAACATGTCGTGATTGCGGTAATTTTCATATTTATTCAAAAGGCTACGAAATTTCCTGATCATGGCTTCCCAAAAGGCAACTCTTCGCATGTCGTTTCCTTGCGTTAGATTTTTTGATGTCCCGCACCAAGCCACCGCCAATTCGTACTCCTCGTCCGCGGTCTACCATGTTGGAGGTTCGTCTTCCGATTGCTCCACCGCAAATGCTTTCCATTTCCTTCGTGATCTCCCTTTTTGGGCCGTTTTTTTTTCCGCTCCCCCCCCCCACTAGCTTGCGTCTCGGGTACAGTTTGTTGGGTGGGTTGTGGTTGTGTGGTATTTTGTTGAATTGTAGCAAATGGGTTGAAAATGTTTTGTGGAAGGTGTGTAGTGAATTGTGTTGGTGGTGAGACGGGATTGAAAAAGTTGTCTTGTGTGTTGAGAATGTTCGCGTACATTTCGTATTGGGCAAAACCAACAGGCGGAGGTGTATTTCTGTTTGGAGGAAGAGTGTTGGGGTTTTGATCCATAGTAAGGAAAAGAGTTTTTTTTTTGAATATTTGAAAGTAAAAAGGTTTTTATAAGATAAAGGTTGATGTATATGTATATATATAGTTGTAAAAGGATTTTTTTTTATTATTACTTTTTTACTTTTTTGACCGTTTTACAATGGTTGAAAAATCAAAAATATATCCGAGTTAATTTGCTTAGAAAAATGTCCTGTTGTCAAGCGTTACCATCGTAATGCCTAAAAACGCGAGGTGGGCGCAGTGTTCGACGCATTATAAAAACGTTTTTTGCTTGCCACGTCGGAATAACGCGTACTCGCGTTGCCCGTACCTACCCGCCTAATAAATGAATGTTTTTTTTGCCACATGTCATTTTTTCCTTCATTTGGACACATAACATTTTCTAGAATTTTTAAATTTTCTATTTTCCAGTTGTCATTTTATTGTATTTTTCATTTTATTAAATGAAAATTTCACATTTAATATGTAAGGTAATATATATGTAAGGTATTTATTAGAAATAGTTTATATATGTAATATATTTAATATATCAAAGTCTCATTAATTTTAATAATTAAAAAATTTTCTTATTTTTTATATAAACTCGAACTTTTCAAATTGTTAAAATTTTATATTTAATTTTTTTAAAATAAACCTATGTAATACATGGGTCTCAACCCTAGTGTTTAAAATTTAACTAGGTGTGAGACTCATGTATTACATTGGGTTCATTTAAAAAAGAAATTAAATATAAAATTTTGAACAATTTGAGAAGTTTGAATTTATAAGAAAAATATGAAACATTTTGAATTATTAAAATTAATGAGGTTTTAATACATTGAATACATTACACGTATAAATCATTTCTAATAAATATCTTACATATATATTACCTTACCTATTAAATGTGAAAATTTAATTTAATAAAATAAAAAATACAATACAATAATAAGTGAAAAATAAAAATTTAAAAAATGTTAGAAAATGCCAAATTAACGCGAAGAAGGCATGTGTATTTATTAGGATAAAACTGTAAAATTGGTCCCTGTGGTATTCAAAAAACTTTGGATAGGATCCAAAAAGTTTTCAACTTGCATGGAAGATCCAAAATCAAGAATTTCCTTTGATTTTGGTCCCTAGAGGACTTGAAAAGACCGTTTTGCCCTTTTATTTATTTTTTTGTATTTTTATTATATTTTTTTAATAATTTATTAAATAAAAATTAAAAATGAAAGAATTGGGCCCACCCCCACCCCTACCGATACTCTCTCTCTCTCTCTATAGAAAGAATCCACACGTACACTCCACATACGAACACAATCGATGATCAATACACTCTCCATAATCGATTTGCAAGTGTGTGGTTGAATACTCCACCCAACAACACCGGTTTCACCGATGAACTTCACCGCCGACCACCCTTATCCACCGTAACCCTTATCGAAACATCCTCATCAGCTCCCTCGTAGGACGTCATGTGATTCACCCACATACTATGCCTCCCTACTTCTTACTTCCTCTGATTTCAATCAAGAATTGATTTCTGGAACCATTTGGGATTTCGATCGACAATTGATTTCTAAAACAACCATCTCTCCAATCTACAACTCGAAAAAGACGATGGTTGAGCCGCCCATTTCTCTTCTTCTCCAACGATTTTGTTCTAGCTCTCGGATGGCGACGACGTTTAGGGTTTCAAGCGATGGTTTGCAAACGAGGGTTTCAGATCCGTCATGGTTTGGGGTTTCAAGTGATGGCGGCAACAACAAAGTGGGAAGATGGATGGTGGTTGTATCTCCAACTTCCTCATAATCGATGAGCACCACCAGCAACACATCACAACTTTAGATCCAAATTTAGATCCAAAGTTTTTTTTTCTTGAATGTGGCTTGATGTTGATTTATGGATTTAAAGTTTTTTTTTTTATATTTTTGTTTTCTTTGGTGTGTATATATGAGAGATAAGAGAGAGGTAAAGATAACATAAACGGTGGTGGCGGAGAGTGATGGTCGACGGTGGTGGGTCGATATTGTTTGTGTGTGAAAGAAGAGAGAGAAAGAGAGCCTGTGGGTGGGGTGGGCCTGACATATATATATATTTTTTTTTTATTTTGTTTGTTTTTTAATTAATAAGGTATTAATACAAATAAAAAATACAAAAAAGAAATGAGAAAGGCAAAATAATCATTTTAATATTTTTTTCACATAAAATTCTTGATTTTAAACCTTCCCTTAAAAACTTTTAAAGACTATCCAAGTGTATTTGTATTTATTAGAGAGGAAGTTTTAACAACCATGATTTTGACACCTCGACTCGAGTGAGATGTGTCGGAGTTACAATGCGGTACGATAACGCATTCATGCTCTTCCCCAAGGACGTGGCTTTCTTTCTTCTTTCATACAGTTGAGTTGATTATATGTATATATATATATATATATATATATAGTCATAAAGTCATGCAGAGGTATCGAAGCTCTAAAGGAACCTTTACAGATTTAACAAACAGATCAAAAACCACTTCTTGATGCAAAGGAAGATGTCAACAGATGAAAACAGTAATGAGCTCCACTTAGTGATGTTTCCTTTTCTGGCTTTTGGTCACATAAGTCCCTTTGTACAGCTTTCCAATAAGTTGTCCTCGTATTCTGGTATCAGGATTTCCTTCTTGGCTGCTTCCGCCAATGTCCGGCGTATCGAAACCATGCTCAACCGCACCGCCGCCACTCAAATCATCCCTCTCACTCTCCCTCATGTCGACGGCCTCCCTGAAGGGGTGGAGAACACCGCCGACACCTCCCCAGCCACCGTTGAACTCCTCAAAGTCGCCTTAGACCTCATGCAACCCCAGATCAAGAACTTACTTACACATCTCAAACCTCATATCGTAATCTTCGACTTTGCGCAATCGTGGCTGCCACCAATAGCGACTGAGCTCGGCATCAAATCCGTCTGTTTCTCGGTTTTTTTGGGGATCGCCATCGCGTATGTCACCGCCTGTATCGGCCGGAATATACCACCGACTATAGAAGAAGTCACGAATCCTCCACCGGGGTTCCCGGGAACCATCGGTTTCAGAACTTTTGAGGCTTCGGATTTTCTTTACATCTTCACGAGCTTCCATGGTACTCCAAGCGTATTTGACCGTTTGATGAAATGCTTTAATGGCTGCGACGCTATACTCATGAAGTCATGTACAGAAATGGAAGGACCTTACCTTGATTATATAACCAAACAGGTCAACAAACCACTTCTTCTAATCGGTCCGGTGGTTCCCGAGCCATATTCCGGCGAACTGGACCAGACGTGGACCAACTGGTTGACCCACTTCCCAGCTAGATCCGTAATCTACTGCTCTTTCGGCAGTGAAACTTTTCTAACAGATGATCAGATAACAGAATTAGCTCTAGGGTTAGAACTCACCGGTCTTCCTTTCTTCCTGGTGTTGAATTTTCCGGCGAATCTCGACAGCTCTGTAGAACTGAAAAGAACCCTACCTCGTGGGTTCATGGAGAGGGTGAAGGGTAAAGGGGTGGTGCATTCAGGGTGGGTGCAACAACGACATATTCTTGCTCACGAAAGTGTTGGGTGTTATGTCTGTCATGCTGGTTTCAGCTCTGTGATCGAAGCTCTGGTAAACGACTGTCAGTTGGTGATGCTGCCATTGAAGGGCGACCAGTTCATGAACTCTAAGTTAATGGCGATGGATTGGAAGGTAGGAGTCGAGGTAAATAGGAGAGACGAAGATGGGTATTTTGGGAAAGAAGATGTGTTTGAAGCTGTGAAGAGTGTTATGATGGAGACTGAAACAGAAGTCGCTAAATCGATAAGGGAAAATCACAAAAAATGGAAGGGGTTTTTGCAGAATGATGAGATACAGAAGAAGTATATTATAGATTTGGTTAAGGATTTGAAGACACTTTAGCAATAGCACGACTTTATGGTTTGAATTTAACCTCATCTATATGCATCTAAATAATGTTCTATGCTTTTAGATTATGTAAATAAATGCATAAAGCAATCAAATAAAATGTCTATTCATATTATCGATTACATAAGGTGGGCCATGTTCTTCAATCTAGTTAAATTATCGGTCTCTCTTGATGGTTAAGTTCTTCAACAACTTTTAGAAGCTTAAGACATTCATCATGTTCATCACAATTTAACAAAGATTCCATGTATGATAAAACTCCATCTTTCTCCTCAACACCAGCTTTCCACAAAAGATTACACATCAAATCTTGCAATTCCTGAATCTTTCCTTCCTTTCGAAGACCATGAAATAAACAACAACATGATTCAAAAGATGGCATAGGCCCATGATCAAACATCAACTTCATCCACACTACACAATCATCGTATTTCCCTTCATGACACAAGTGTTCAAGAATCTGAGAACATGCAGTAATGTCAGGAAAGTAGCCATTTTTCACCATTTCTTGAGCCAATTCATAGCCTTCAACTATTCGTCCCACTTTATACAACCCCATGATCAAGAAACTATTAACATCCGAATCCTTAACACCATGTTTCTTGGCCTTTTGTAAAAACTCAACACTATGAGTAGCATTCATTTCTTTAAAAACAATAAAAGAAGAATTTTTATTTTTAGTTTTACCATTGCTGGATATAACTAATCCTTCAAGCAACGAAGAAAAAGTCTCAAAGTTTGGTGGACACTTATCTTTTACCATATTATTCAAGATTCCAAATGCATGTTCCAAATCACCCGATTTAACATAAGCTTTAATCAATATAGTATAAGTAACAACATTTGGAGATACACCCGCATCACGCATAGTTTCAAGAAGCTTCAATCCTTCATCCATTCTACCATTTTGACATAATGCATCGATGAAAATCGTGAATGTGTAGACATTTGGAGGACAATTACAAAGTTTCATTGATTCAAAAACTTTTAAAGATTGATCAAAATTACATTCCCTTAAATACCCATCAATTAGAATTGTGTAAGTCACCACAGAAGGAGTCACACCACATTTCAACATCTTCCCAAAAATTGCATTCGAATAGCCCACCTTTGTATCTTTATTGAAAGCATCAATCAGTGAATTAAAAATGTGAGGGCTGGTCAAAGTAAGATGTTTGACCATTCGATCGAAAATCATAACTGCATTTTCTGTTTTACCATTCTTGCAATACCCATCGATAAGAACAGTAAATGTGACTTCATCAAGAATTACTCCCTTTTTCATCATTAAACCCAAGATCCCATTTGCTTGATCCACTTTTCCTTCTTTGGAAAGCTGATCTATGAGTGTTGTATATGCAAATCCATCAGATTCAAGGTGAAGTGAATCCATGGAGTTTAGAATTCTAAAAGCCATATCAAGTTGGCCTTCTTTACAAAACCCATCAATTAATATGTTATAAGTTAGTGTCTCGGGTCTTAAATCATTCTCAACTATCTTTCTCAATAATGCCATGGCTTTGTAAGGCTTACCAATTCTACATAAACCTTCCATAAGTTCATTAAAGGTGCGAATATTTGGCCTACTGTTTCTTTTTTCCATCATGGAAAGAAGCTCAAAAGCAGAAACAACTCTTTCTTGTTTACAGTAGCCATTGATGAGTGCATTGTAAGTAATTGTGCCTGGAATTAATCCATCTTTGATCATTTTTCTAAACATTGAATTTGCCTCTTCAATTTTACCTTCCATGCATAATCCATTGATCAATATTGTGTAAGTATGAGCATTAGGGTTGCTTCCTTTCTTGAGCATCTCATCGAGTAAATACATAGCTTTATCTGTAGATCCTAAGTCACAAATTGCTTTAATGAGAACAGTATATGTACGTGTAGTTGGATGGCATCCATTCATGACCATTTTTCCCTTTAATGCAAATGCTTCTGTGAGCTTACCTGTTTCACATAGACCATGAATCAGTATCGTGAAAGTTACCTCATTTGCCCCACAACCATCTCTTTTTGACATTACATCAAACACTTGGAAGGCCTCTTTAAGATCACCGATCCTGCAATAGCCTAGTACTAAAGAAGTTGAAATATGAACATCTATATCGAAACCAAGTTTCACAATTCTTGAAACAAACATTTCTGCACCTCGTACAAACCCATTCTTGCACAAAGCGTTTATCAGTGTGTTGTAATCTATCGAACCTAAAATGAACCCATCATTCACCATTCTTTTATAAACTGAAAAGGCTGGTAAAGCCATTTGTAGCTTACTTAAACACATCAAAAGAGTACTATAACAAGGGTAACTAATCCTGAAACCAAATTTCCTCATATCATCAAGAACGCTAATCAATCTCAGAGCCTCATTTACAGTATTACTACAATCTTTGATCAAGACAACGACCACCTTGTGTAAAACCCCAAAATAATTACCACGCATAATCAAATTCGAAAGATGGATTCTACTATCTACACTGTAACAATAAGTTGACTGTTTACACACCCATTTGAAAAATCGGACGCAGAGTGCGACGTTCTCGTTGTGAAGAGAGATGACCTTACACGCTGATTCAGGACTCATGTGGGAAGCAATTGATTTAAGATATATGTTATGTTCCCAATTCGGTTGTTTCAAAAGATTTGCTATCTGATCAAGGTTGTCATTGTTTGCGGGTTTCTGGGTGAACTGAAAAACATGGCAAAGCGTTCGATTGTGTTTGACGGAGAGACTCCGAAGTTTGCTTGTAGAAATCAACATGCATTTGACTAAACAATTTCAGGCAGCGACGTCTGAACTCTGTAGATTCGAAAAGAGTCGGCGTGAGGCATATTCATAGGAGAGGGTGGAGGCCTATTCATACACAGAGAAATGGTTAGAGCACGCCATGATATAGTCAGAATTTAGAAAGGACTAAAATATTTAAAATAAATAAATAAATAAATAAAATAAATAAAAAAGTTTATAAAATGGCATTGTGTTGCCGAGGCGAGAGAAAGGAGAGAGGAGAGAGAGTCTTAGGGGGTTTTATTAGGGATAGTAATTTAAGAAGGTAATAAAGTTTTCAGTTTGTCCGTATTAGGTCACTAAGGTTTTTTTTTTTTTTTTTTTTTTTTTTTTTTTTTTTTTTTTTTTTGCGTATTAGACCAATATGGTTGTTATTACCGTTTAGAAATAATCATTTTACCGGTTTTAACGGGTAAAAAGGACTATTTCTAAACGGTAATAACAACTATATTGGTCTAATACGCACAAAAAAACCTTAGTGATATAATACGGACAAACTGGAAACCTTATTACCCTCCTAAGTCATTAACCCTAATTTTAAAGACATTGAGAATATATGACCATCAACAGCAAACTACTTCATTTAGAACTCGCGTCGTCCCATATAACCTGCTACTCCTCTATATGGCGAAACTCTTCATCTATAGTCGTTCCTTTGGGGACATCCGATAAAATTGGAACTATACAGAGAAGATTAGCATGGCCCCTGCGCAAAGATGACACACACAAATCGAGAAATGGTCCAAAACTTTTTTTAACCCTTCGTCGTCTTTTCTGGAACCCTAATTCCCTTTTTCAAATGCTAATAGAGTTCAATTGCAATTCTTACGTTTCAGTAGTTCATCTACTGAAGTCATGATCAGACAACATGTGGATTCTATGGTCAGATTGATCTTCCTGTTGATGTCTTCAACCATTTGTTGCAAGTAAGGGTGATCTTTCTTTCTATAACGTCTCCTTTAAGTTTTTTACTTTTCCTGTCATTAGGTTTCATGCTTTATAAACTTCCGTTTATGTGTTGTATATAGTATGTATGTATGTATTTGTGTATGTGCTGATTTTTTTTATTCATTTTGCAACTTCAGTTTTTTAGTTCATGTTGTGGTTTTGTTTTTTATAAAATAATTGATAACAGACATCCTATACAAGTCCCTATTGGTTTTACATTTCCATTCGTTATCAAATGTAGACATTGATGGGAGGTATCAAAGTGAGATTTTGTTTTTGTACATATGGATGTGTTCATGTAAACATTTAAATGACAAAAAAGAAGTTATTGATAAAATGTTGCATATTTATGTAATGAAGATCATCAATCATATAAGTTTCTGGACTTAGAAGTTCCGGAAGGGTTGTGAGATAAGTTTAAATGAAAGCAACTATTTTCCGTCAAACAAATCAGTCACATTGATTAGTAAACATGTTTTCTAAATAATTAGGGTTAATGACTTAGGAGGGTAATAAGGTTTCCCGTTTGTCCGTATTAGGCCACTACGGTTTTTTGTGCATATTAGACCAATATGGTTGTTATTACCGTTTAGAAATAGTCATTTTTACCCGTTAAAACCGGTAAAAGGACTATTTCTAAACGGTAATAACAACCATATTGGTCTAATACGCACAAAAAAAAAAACCTTAATGACCTAATACAGACAAACTGGAAACCTTATTACCCTCCTAAGTCATTATCCCTTATTATTATTATTATTTTTTTAAGGAGTGAAAGTTTGAGGGTTTAAGTTATTTTCTTTATAGATTGGTTCTGCATAACGATTGTGTTTTATAAATTTATATAATATAATATTTTAATGCATGACCTCTTTTTCTTTATTTTATTTTACTTTTATATTTTATTAATTTGATCAACCTTTTCATTTTAAATGATATATCATGCATCTCTTGTATAAAAATTGATGTGTCACTAATGTGATTGCCAAAAAACTACTTCGACATTGTGAACATGCTATACACCACTCCATCCAGCCTAAAGGGAAATAAAATGTCTACCTAAGTTATTTAAAAAAAAAAAAAAGAATCAAAGAAAAGAAAATATGTTCTTAGTGTTTTTTTTTTAATTATGAGTAAGGAAACTACCCGTCTATATGAGAAGGATTCTTACCTTTCCATTCCATTCTTTTTCCTTTTTTCCCCGTTTCTTTTGTCCCATTGCTTTTTCTTCCCTTGCTTTTTAAATTGAAAACAAAAAGTAAATGCTTTTATACCAAAAAAACATATTTCTGTATTTTGCAAATGAATTATTGAAATTCTTTCATATAATTGTCTAACCTTGTTAAAATCACACAATACATATTTCTCAATATCTTCATTTCTTATATCATTTGTGGACAAAGAAACAGAAGGTTTTCATGTACTTACATATGAAACCTCACTATAAAAAAACCTAATCTACTCTCATATATACATTCACTCAACCCTAATCTAATCAGATTATTCAATGAAAAACATCTGAACTACAGATCAATCAACAATAGTTTGAGCGATTAGTATAACTTGTTAACATACATAAGAACGGAGAGAAGTAGACACAAGAACGGTTGAAAACTAGAGAAAACCCTAACTCTATTGAGCTAACTGAAGAAGTTCATCTGAAAATATCTCCACTCTCTCTTCTCTTTTATATCTCAGTAACACAAATATGGAGCATAGCCGAATATCCGATCCATATCAAAAGATCCGCGTGTTGTCCCTGCATTTACATTCTAAGCCCACAACAAAAACACTTAAACACAAAAAAACCTTTTGAGAATACAAATAAATATAAGATTGACTTATTTTATTATTTTCAACAAACCTTTTAAATTATGTAATATGATGATTGTCAGATATACATAAACATCAAAGACAAGATACGGCGTATAAAGGTGCACCCCAACATAGTCGGCAAAGTAAAGGGGCGCCCCGTGTCGGGTAGAGAGTTATCTCATGAACAACAAATAGAATCACATGTTTCACCTAGATACATTTTTAGGTCCGAAAACTCTATATGTGTAAATTACATGTGTCCGCTAGTCCTAACGGCATGTTCTTGAGTTCATTTTAGGAGGAGAATAGAAAGGAAGGAAAAGAATTAAGGAGAAATTGTGTTATTGAGTTTTTTTTTTAAAAAAAAGGGGGAACAAAATGGAAGGGGAAAGGAGGGCAGATTAAGATGATAAGGGAGGGAAATGAAGGGGAAAAAATATAAAAATGTTGATTTACTTCCCTCTCCTTTCAACTTAAGAACACAATTTTATTTCTATTTCCCTTTAACTCAGGAAAACAACAAAAATACATGTATTTTTTCCGTGTCCATTACTCTTCTTTCCATTCATTTTTAAACTCAAAATAAAGCATGACAATATTATCAATAAACTATTCCTAATTTGGTCGTGCACATAACATAATCATAATTAATGGTATTGTGAGCAACATAAATTTTTATGTTTTCTTTCTCATACCCTAAATGTATGCATGTTGTGTAGTTTGTTTTTTGTTTTTGTTAATTACCACCTTATCATAATGAAATGATAGCTTAGCTTCTAGTTTATAATACACTTTATATTTCTAAGAAGATAACAAATAGATTTTTTTTAGAAAGTGTCCTTTCAAATTATTGTCCATTAAGTTTCTTGATTTTGCAATATTTAGGAAGCCATCATGTGTGTATAGAACTCTTTAATTAATTTGTATGGTAATTTGAGTTCTTATAAGCATCCATCGTACAACTTCTATTTAAAGCAATAAAACTATTCTATTAAAGCAATAAAACTATTCTATTAAGGTCGATTTTAGCAGTGGCGGACGCATAACATTTTCGTAAGGGTGACACTAAAAAAAATTTCAAAATAAATCTATATTAGTAGTGTCACTCGTGTTTTAAGCCGGTACACCCAATAGAAAGAACATTAAAAAAAAATTACACTACGTGCCGGCGTCGGAGCAGTGGCCCGGGACCCCTGGGGCACTACTAAGGTCCGCCACTGCATTTTAGCCTCTTTAATTTGATTGTGAGTTTGGTTTGAGTTTAGCTTACTTTTTTTTTCATTGATCAACATGATAAACAAGGGTTTTAAAATGCATAATGCTAACAACAATGAGACAACTATTGAATCATTGATACCTTGCCGTATTTGAACCGTAATATTTTGTTATGTGCCATACAATTTGTCAATTTCTTGGTGGCTTTGGTATCCAAAAAGATTAAAGACGTAAGAATAATCGACTGTGTCAACATCATGAATTTATATTTTTTAGGTTTCAAGAAAACTCTACCTTATATAAGTTTTTTATTCATCATCTTGCATAACCATACATGTAAATCTCTTTTAGTATCTATATGCTTAACGAAATCGAAACAAGATTTTTAGTTTTAAGACTTAGAGGGTATAAATGCTTAAGTCTAAAAGTTGTTCATGCTTACCCAAATCCAAAACTACCATTTTGAAATGATGCGGAACTCTACGGATGTTTCAAGACGAAATATGGAAGCTGAAGGACTCAAATTGTTAAATACGTGAAATATAGGGACGTCCAAGATCGGTATCTTTTTCTTTGCTGAAGCTTGAAGGTGAAATTCTGCCAGTAATCTAATCCTTAGGTTCTCACGTATGACGTGGCAATACATGATTGGATGACCCGCGTCATCAGGCTTCCCAAATCCCACTGAAGCAACAAAATGTAGGGCGGTTCGGTCGAAACTCAAAACGCAAAAATGGCGAATTTGAGTCTGACCTCTGCAATGAAGGGATGCTCTGTGTTGCTTCTGCTAATTGCCGCCACACTTGGTGAGTTTCAGTGAAGACTAATGAAAGCTGTTTCGAAATGGTTTAGTTCTTTATTTATCATATTTTAAATCACTTGTTCTGGTTCGATTGTGTAAATTGAATGACGAGTTGATCTTCTTCGTAATATCTCACAGTTTCGGCAAAGAAGTCCGGTGATGTCACGGAGTTACAGATCGGCGTCAAGGTAAAATTCCGGTAGCCCAGTCTTATTATTATCACCTATAATCCCTTGATCTGGCTCAAGTGTGTGAGTTAACAATTGTGCATTATTTAATTTATTTACAAGGAGTTATGATTGCACTGCGAATTATCCACTTCTGTTTCCCGATCGTTGTGTAGTGTGCTTGTTATGTAAAAATTGGGAGGATCTGTGTCTTACTTCCTTCTATTGCTTTCTCTTCTCTTTGTGGTAGAAAAAGAAAAAGAAATGCTTAAGATATCTTCACGGAATTGTAATGAGGGTTTGAGTTGATCTGCTGTTAGTATAGTATGTAAAAATGTCTTAGCTTTCCCAATTAGGAGGTGTCTTATGTGCAATGCATTTGATCTGATAATTGGTTACACAGTGAAAGCATGTATATAGAGAGAGTAATGCAGTTGGCTTATTGAATTTGATTCTCACTTTCATGTTGATACTTTCCATTTCTTATTCTTTCTTGATGTTTATTGATTTTAAAGAGCTATCATCAGTTGTCCTGACCATCATTTACATGAACAGTATCGACCACCCACCCTTTAACCTTTTTTTTTTTTTTTTTTTTTTTTTCTGTCCTGAACCTCCATTTTTGCTGTTGTTGTTGCAGTTCAAACCAGCATCTTGTGAAATCCAAGCACACAAAGGTGATAGGGTGAAAGTTCATTATCGGGTGAGTTAGTAGATACATCTACATAGCTATTTCCTTTCTTTCTCCATCCCATCCCATCCCCCCTCTTCTCTGAGTTATTATCTCAGTTTTCTGTATCACTTAATGAATGATTGTATTTGTATGTATATCTTTGAGCATTCGTTTAATTTCTGGTTTTGCAGGGGAAACTTACTGATGGAACTGTTTTCGACTCCAGCTTTGAAAGGGGTGACCCAATTGAATTCGAACTTGGTAGTGGTCAGGTGATAAAAGGTATAAAACCATATGATATGACCCAATTTGATTGTTGTGAAATTCAATTCTTATAGTATATATTATGGAAGTTAACAAAAATAGTGTATTCCAGGATGGGATCAGGGACTATTGGGAATGTGTGTTGGGGAGAAGCGTAAGTTGAAGATACCTTCAAAGCTGGGTTATGGAGACCAGGGTTCACCACCTACTATCCCAGGTACGTAATGAGCATATTTATTTTATAAGGAAAATGTGTTTTAATTTAATGGGGAAAGATATTAATAAATTGAAGAAATTAATTACTGATACACAGGTGGGGCTACACTTATATTTGATACGGAGCTTGTTGCTGTCAATGATAAAGGATCAGATGGAGGAGACACCAATAACAACAACGAGCTATGATCACTATGATCAAAAGAATCCAGATCATGACCTTTTAGTAGGAGGAGAGAATTCTAGATTTGATACTTTAATTTTGTTCCCTAGTATCTTCAAAAACAAAACATATGTCTTGTACAAGTATTTGGGACACCATTTTAACTCCTTGTTTCACTTAGGTTGAAGTGATGAGGTTAGAGAAACTTAAAATTGATATTTTAAAGCGATTCAGAAAACTAAACAAAAAGATGAAAATTATCACCATTTTGATCTTTTTCTCAAAGCAAATAAGTATTAATGCATTCCAAAAACCAAAATGCTAGGGTGGATCAGCCAAAGCTTTTTGACTATATAGATAGTGTTGTGAAATTCTGAACATACTTCGTGATATGCTATTTTTTTTAACGATTGATAGATCAATTTGGTACTAAATTATCTAAATAAACCAAACTGCTAGTTTAGTTCTCTTTGTAATTTTCTTGTTTTAGATTGTATTATTCTATTTTAATGTTTGTTGCAAGATGCATACTTTCAAATATGTTAGGGAAAGCTTTAACTTCAGAAGATATGATGGTTGATGGCATCAGGCCTTGTAGATTGTTTTGGAAATATTCCAACATCCTTATGATCCTCGGAAGATTTGAAGTTATGTTGATAGAAGTTCATGTGTTGCCAAAACATACCACATTTTAAAACAATAGTTATTTCACAAAATATTGACATACTGTCATGATTCTTTGAATACACGGTCGGATTACTTTATTGGGAACTAACTTATGAACTTGCTTTACATTTTCTAAAAAAAAAAAAAAAAAAACAATTAGTAGTTTATATTTACAAACAGGCATTATATATTGATATGTTAAGGGATATTGACTTTGATATGGTAACACACTATGCTTCATGTAGATATATGATCACTTTACTTATTTTTATTATATTATTATTATTTTAAATATGATTTACCACTAATGTAACACCCGTTTCTTATATGCATTGCGATTCAAGTAATCTTTAGTTAATTTGGGGTGTGTATCATGTTTGGCTAGCGCGAAGTGGGTTTGCCATATGTGATGCGGTGCACCCAAATGCTAGGCATGGTGTGTCCTTCTTGTTGGGAAAAAGCATAGTGCTTAGGATTTAGGCCCTATTTAAATGCTTAACCTATAAGATTTCGTCATTTATCAACCTCCAACCTTCCAGAGCAAATCATAACCTCTATTATTGCATTTTGGAGCCTTCGTGACCAATTTAACGAGTTAAACTTTGATTATACTTAATATATATACAAAAACTAAGTTTGATAGTTTTTGCTGTCTTCATAGGGTTGCATATAACACCTTTGAATAAATAATCATTCATCGCCTTTTAGAAGAATGTATAAATCAAGGCCCGTTTCAATCCCCAAGATATAACGTCTTTGCTGCTAATAGGAAATTAACGATATCAAACAAGACCAATCATTCAACCATCTCTAAATGAAATAACATAACTACTATTAAGATTATAAATAACGAGAGATTTGGTGTGACAACAATATCAGTTCAAGCTTTTTTAAAAAGTGACGTCAGAACCCTGAAAATATGAAACAGCACCACAGTCTTTTTAGAACCATGACTACAAATTTTAAAAAACAAGATAATTGCAGCGTAAAAGAAATAAAAAAAACAAATAAACAACTCCGAAATAGGGCCGGTCCAAACATATATGAGGTCCGGGGAAAAAGGTCCCTCAAAGACAAATATAATCAAAAAAATATCATTTATTCTTCAATATAGATGTGTTCAGTTAGTAATAATAAGCAAACTAAATTGTTTATCTTTTGAGTTAATTTGAGTTTAAACCAACTTTAGGTTTTAAAAATCATTTAGGTAATAAATTTATATATACATATATAAACTAAATAGCCCATAAATTTTGGACCCCTACAGTCGTGGGTCCTGAAGGGTCGCCTGAGTTGCCCACCGTCTGGACCGTGCTGCCTACGAGATATATTACAACATACCTCATCTTTTATTTTCTTTTTGTCTTCATTTGTTTTTTTTCTTTATTTATTTATGAAAAGGAAATCCAAATGAGATAATATATACTCGGAATTTCTAAAAGATTCTATAAGAAAAACCGGACCGGTAAATGGTTAGTCAAGCGCAGACCGTCGGATTACGAAAATAGAAATGAAACAGCAATACAGCATTGGTCATTGGTCACGCGCACCACACACCGGATCACGTGCTCTCACAAGATCTCGAGACTATCGTCAACGTGATCTCTCTCGAACCATCCTGACCCTTCGTCGCTTCTTCATTCACAAACCCTTTCGAACTCTCTGGAATCCCTAACTTTCTCCATACTTCCACTTACCCGCTTCTTCATATAAAATCCATTCGAACTTAAATCTACTTGTTGATCTTAGCTCAACTATTTATCTCTTCAATTTGCTTGTTTTTGGAGGATTAATTTGTGCTTGATCTTGCTACAGCGAATATGGATGAGGACTTTGATATTCCGGTAGCTGATGAGATGAACGATGAATTTATGGATGATATTGAAGCTCCGGTGACGTTGAAAGTCGGAGAAGAGAAGGAAATCGGTAATCAAGGTTTGAAGAAGAAGCTGCTCAAGGAAGGTGAAGGTTGGGACACTCCTGAAAGTGGGGATGAGGTCGAAGGTATACACTCGTTGGTTTACGTTTTAAAGTTGTACTGTTTCGTAGCTAAATCGTATGATTGTATTGATCGCGTTGTGGATTTGAGTTTTTGACAGTTCATTATACTGGAACGTTGCTCGACGGGACTCAATTTGATTCAAGTCGTGATAGGGGAACGCCGTTTAAGTTCACTCTTGGTCAAGGTGAGATTTTTTCTCAATGATGAAACTGATTACATTCGTGCATTCCTATTGGTCATTCTACTGTTTGGATTTCCTCGTTGTTGTTAACATTGATCATTAATTTGTTGATGTTAAACATGCATTGTGTATATTTAAATTGTTGTTTCTATATTCAAAGTATCATGTAGTGGTTAATGGTTTCTCCTTTGGTGCTTCCACTTCTGCTTGCTAGGAGTGTATTAACACTCATTGTACAGTATTATAACGTTACAGTAGGCTATGGATCACATAATTAACATTATTTTCTTGTGTTATCTGACAACAGGGCAAGTGATCAAGGGATGGGATCTGGGTATCAAGACCATGAAGAAGGGTGAAAATGCACTTTTCACCATACCAGCAGATCTGGCTTATGGTGAAGCTGGTTCTCCTCCAACAATCCCTCCCAGTGCTACTCTACAGTTTGATGTACAACTGCTCTCATGGGTTAGTGTAAAGGATATTTGCAAGGATGGTGGGATTTTCAAAAAGATTGTAAAGGAAGGAGAGAAGTGGGAGAACCCCAAGGACCTCGACGAAGTTTTAGGTACTTTCTTTATATCCACTTTTCATGTTTAAGATTCTGTTTCTGTAGCTCTTTGATTATGTTCTAAACATGTCCTTATGTTATCTTTGTAATGCAGTCAATTACGAAGTTCAACTTGAGGATGGGACTGTAGTTGCAAAATCAGATGGAGTCGAGTTTAAAGTAGAAGATGGTAACTTTAGCACATAGCTGTATTCTGTTTTGGCTTTACATTCTTTTTTGATTGTTGCTGACGTATTTGTTTTTGATCAGGTCATTTCTGCCCTGCTCTGGCTAAGGCTGTAAAAACAATGAAGAAAGGGGAAAAAGTCATCCTTACAGTCAAACCAGAATGTAAGTTTACTGTTATCTTTGTAAAAACACTTGGCTCAACACTCAATAGCTACAAAGGTCGGTTCACTTACAATTTTTTTTGTTGTAGATGGATTTGGAGAAAAAGGGAAACCTGAAGGCTCTATTCCTGCAAATGCTACACTACAAATCACACTAGAACTTTTGTCATGGAAGGTGGTCACAAATGTTACAGATGACAAGAAAGTCATCAAGAAAATCTTGAAAGAAGGGGAGGGGTATGAACGCCCGAATGAAGGAGCTGTTGTTCAGGGTTAGTTGGATTATTTAATTTGATTCTTCTCTTGATTCTTTAAATTTTTTTGTAACATTATGTCTGAAATCTCTTCTTGTTTTGATAATGAACAGTGAAGTTGATTGGTAAGCTACAAGATGGTACAGTGTTCATCAAGAAAGGTCATGATGATTCTGAGCCTTTTGAGTTCAAGGCAGATGAAGGTAATATAAACCATTGGAAATTCTTTATATCTTTTATTGTTTCATGTTATGTAATCTTATTTTCATTAATCCTCACTTTGCTATTTGCATAAACAGAGCAAGTGATTGATGGACTTGATAAAGCTGTAATGACAATGAAGAAAGGAGAAGTAGCTCTTCTGACAATTGCTCCAGAATATGCTTTTGGGTCTACTGATTCAAAGCAAGAATTAGCAGTGGTTCCCCCTAATTCCTCTGTCACATATGAAATTGAGCTTGTTTCTTTTGTTAAGGTAAGCTGTGCATAAAGTTTAGTTTTTTATGATCATATATATATATATATATATATATATATATATATATATATTGTTTATTTAATGTCAACGTTTATTTATTTTTATTTTCAGGACAAAGAATCATGGGACATGACCACGACTCAAGAGAAGATCGAGGCCGCTGGGAAAAAGAAGGAAGAAGGAAATGCATTCTTTAAAGCTGGTAAATATTTGAAAGCAGTAAAACGATATGAAAAGGTAAAGATTCAGTTTGACTTGTCAAAACCTACTAATTAAGATTAAATAAAGCAGTGGTTTGTGTAATTGTTTATGACTAAATCTGTTTTTTTTGTTTTTAACATTTCCAGGCTGCTAAGTTTATTGAGTATGATACTAATTTTGAAGAAGATGAGAAGAAACAAGCAAAAGCATTGAAGATTACTTGCAATCTTAATAATGCAGCATGCCAGTTGAAACTCAAGGATTACAAACAGGCTGAAAAGCTTTGCACTAAGGTTAGAGATACAAATAGATAATCCTACTCACAGTTTGCTTTTTCTTTTTTAATAGTTTTATGATGTTTTAAAAGGTTTTAACAAGGGTCTGGAAACGTGATCTTTACAGGTGTTGGAACTTGAAAGTACAAATGTAAAGGCTTTGTACAGAAGGGCTCAAGCTTACATCAATGTAGCTGATCTGGATCTTGCAGAGATTGATGTAAAAAAAGCCCTTGAAATCGACCCTAATAACAAGTAGGAATCCTTTTTTTTTTTTTTTTTTGACACTTTTGAAGCTTATAGCAAGTGGATGAATATGGTTTTGATGATGATATGATGATTAGGGATGTGAAACATGAATATAAATTGCTAAAGGAGAAGATAAAGGAATACAATAAGAAGGATGCTAAATTTTATGGAAATATGTTTGCCAAGATGACAAAACCCTCTTCCAATGTGAGAGCCTTTTGAAAATATGTGTATCTGTTTATAAAATAAAAATCATAAAAAGAAGGGGTGTAATGAATGGTGATTTGATTATGCTTGTGTGCAGAAGGCAGCAGGGACAAAGGAGGCAGAAGAACCAATGAGCATAGACAGCAAGGCTTAATCAATAAAAAGATAAAAGATAAAAGATGTGTTTAATGTAATGTTGTGCCATAATATAAGGGTTTTCTGGTATTTTTTTTTTCATGGTTTAGTGCTCTTATTTGGTTTTAATTCTTCAGATAGTGTGTGTTTGTCTGGAAAAAAAGGTAAAAGTTAGTGTTTTATTTACTTTCTTTTTATCTTCACATTTAGAAGTGAAGATGTAGACACTGTATTGGCATAACATAATCTATAAAAACTTTTAACTTTGTTTTTGGTTTTAAGTGTTATAAAACAAAAGCATATGTTCTTTTTACAATTAAGTTAAAAATGACAAAGAAAGTAAGAAAATTATTTTGAGAAACAAATAAGAATGCATTGTACTCTGGACGAAGAACATATGAAAGGCAAAAAAGCCTCTTTCCTTCACCTTGCTCTCTTTATTGCTATGGTTATTGTAATGTAGAAAACAAAAAAACTCCAAGAAAATGGATTACAAATTTGGATGCAAAAAAGCCTCTTTCCTTCACCTTGCTCCATCTTCCTTATTGCACAAGATTATTGGTTTGCTGAGATTGCTATCTTTCCACATGTGATATTCCTATTTATTGTTTAAATCTTAGATAAAATACAAGATAAGGTCATATGTTTCGTCTATATTTTGAATTCTTTTTATCTTAACCTTCTTAAATTTAGAAAATTTTTTCCCTATAAATCTTAATTATTCAAATTATTTTTTTCAAACCTTAGTTTTATGGAGATTTTCATAAAAGTTTCTTTGATTCTGAGTTGAATGCCTACTGTATCTAATTGTGAACATCATAAAATTATCCAAATTGTGAAACATCATAGAGTTTGAAGATTTTAAAACGCCAAGTAGATATGCTGAAAAAAGTGCAAAACGGAAAGTGGTGTCATGCTAGTGAAGATTGTGGAACAAATTATAGAAAAATTTCCACGGAAGCAAAAGTTTGTAAAAGGTATGATTGTCTAGCAAAAACTCAAGCAAATCAATCGGCATACAAGACAACATATAAAAGAAAATCGAAGACGAACATATAAAAGAAAATCAAGTGAAATGAGTTTGAAAGAGCAAGATAAATTGTTAAACGAATAAACATAAATAAAAAAATTTGTTCGTTTAATTGAACGTTTATTTGTTCAATTGCTCACGTAATTTAAAATGAACCAATACCAATAGCAAACAATTTAAATGAACTAACGCGGATAGCAAACAATTACAAATATTTCAGTTTTCACCTGTAAAAGAATCTTCAAAAACAATAAACCAATATAATTACTTTTTTACTTTTCGTATTTTTTTATCACATGTTTTTGAAAAAGTTTATACTTTTAATAAAAGTTTATAATTTGATAAGTTTTATTCAAGCATGTGTTTGATAGAATAACTGAAAATTAGTATTTGCATTATTGAGATAGCTGAATAAAATAATAATGTTTGATAAAAATTCTTATCAAGTTAAAGGAGATATAAAATGACAGTTAAATATATAACTAAACGTTAAACGTGATGATAGTTCAAAACAACTAGAATCGAAAACCAAGAAAATTGAAATAACGAATCATTTAAAAAAAATTCAGAAAATTTTAACAAAGGAATGAAAACCAAAGACCAAGTTGTTTAAAAAAACAAAACAATGTAACTAAAAATCAAACCGTTTTAAGAAAACAAAAAAAGATCGAAATTAGAGTAAATGAAAATTATTGTTAATGCTAGTAGTAGTAATAATAAATAATAATAATAATTTTAGTTACGATGAAGAAAGTTTCCCTCAACGTTCTTGACTTCTTTCCCATCAGTCCCTCGGAATCGAAAAGACGCATCCCGTATCGGTTGCTACTGCAAACGAAACATAATATATAATAGAAGCGGAGAGAAACAATATCACGACCTTACTTGAACAGGATCTGTTCTATAGGCTCGTACCTCTGTATTCTTGATTCCTAAGAAGACAGAAACCCATGTCTGGTTGATGAACCCTGACCATGTAACCAGAGCGTGATTAACAGAGTTTCTCATGGTTCCGGCCATGGCTCAGTAGATGATCGTTGTCAGTCCATCTTGATGTGTCTTGGCATGGCTACATGGTTGTCTGACAGACAATATAATTCTTTTTTTTATTCCATTTTTGAGACGCAAAGCAACCGTTTGATGAAATGTCTGAAAGGCGCTTCGTACTAATCATTGCTAGACAACTGAATTTTTTTTTCAATTAGTTCCTCTAAAATTAAAAACCTGAAGTTTATTTTCTTGTTTCATTCAACAATCTCCATGTATATCTATTAACAAGATCTAATCTGTTCTGGCTTTTAGCTAGTGACCCCCTTTCTGGTCCTTTTGTTCCTGACAAAGTCTTCAAAAGGTCTTGCTCCACATCGAATAGCAGATTAAGGCAAATTGCATTTTGTCAGTCTTCAGCGTTAAGGTCAACTATGGGTTCTATAAGTTCTGATTTACATGGGAAATGTCAAAATTCAGAGATGCAAATCAAGTGTTCGATGAATTGCCTGAAGGAGATTATGTTTCTTCTTTCTTGGATCAGCTTATGACTCATCTTAATTTGTTCTCCTAGTTCAACTGGACATGTAACGTATACCATAGTCCCAGAGAAGATGAGTTGGTTCTTTTTCGGTTCAGTCGAAAGATTGCTTCTCAGATTTCAGAAAGAAACAACTACAAAATCTTGTTGAACAAGCGAACCTTAAGCTGATGTTAGCTAAGTATGTAGATGCATATATTGAAGGATGCATGCCTGGTTGACATTTTGATGTGTGTGTATATATATATATATATATATATATATATATATATATATATATATATGATGACATTGACTGTTTATACTTAAATGGACCAAAGAAATTTCCAGGTATTTGTGACATTTGAAAACCTTCTTCTTCATCCACTAGAACATTGCAGACCTTTCCCTGTTGTAATTATTTAAATTTAGGAGATATAATCTTTAAACAGCAAATCTTTTGTTTAAACACTTGAATGATGTAAGCCAGTGTGTATTGGTCAACTGATTGGCTGAATCTGTTTTTATGACTTTAATCAATAAAAGGAGAAAAGAGCAAAGCTTATTTTTCATATTTGCAGCAGCAACATGAGCATTTTTTACCATTGAATAATGAAGATAAGTAGCAGGGAGAGAAGACACCTTTCATCTTTAATGTTGATGTTGCTCTGCTTGCAGATATATACAAAAGCACAAGAAGAAAATCCAGCCTACAAGGAGATCCCAGTGGGAGTGATTCTAGATATGGGATCATCATATTCATATTCATATTCATATTCATATTCATATTCTGGGGTTGGAAAGGCTGTTCATAGCTGCATCACCATGGCTGTGTCTGAGTTTTACATGGTCAACCCTCACTTCCAAACAAGGATAGTTATTCACCATAGGGATACCCATGGAGACCCACTGCATGCTCTCTCTGCTGGTAAGTCTTACCAATTGTATAACTATAAACTATCTCAGACTTCATTTGGAACACATCATGTAACAAGATCAAAAGTAAATACCAAAAAGCATATGAAGAGAAAGGTCTGTAGTTGTCATACAAATTTGTCAATTCATGTCTTTCACAACATGCACATTAGATGTTTGCTTTGGATATTTTTAATTCATTTGTTTATGTTCTTTGTTTACCCATCAGCTCTTGATCTTTTGGAGAAGCCAAAAGTGGAAGCAATCATAGGTTCAGAGTCAACAGCTGAAGCAAAGTTCCTGGCGGTTTTGGGAGACAAAGCTAGAGTGCCTATTCTTTCACTTTCACCATGTCTATCTTGCAACAAGCATCCTTATTTCCTTCAAGTTACACAAGATGAAACCAGTCAATTTGAAGGGATTGCTGCAATGGCTGAATCCTTTAGATGGAAGGAAGTTACTGTTATCTGTGAAGATAGTGAGAATGGGAGAGACATGACTACATTCATGACCAATACATTCCAAAAGAAGGGTATAATTGCAACACATTGGAGCTTAATTTCAACCTCTTCTAGCAATGAACTACTCCAGGATGAAGTTCACAAGCTTTTGAGTATGCAAACAAAAATATTCATCATGCATGCATCCCCTTCTCTTGCATCCCGCATTTTGGTGAATGCAAAGTATCTTGGAATGATGGATGAAGGATACAAATGGGTTATCACCAGTAAGACTATGGACTTTCTGAATTTAATGGATGATGAAGTCATTGAGTCTATGCAAGGGGCAGTGGGCTTTAAATCAAGGGATATCCACAAATTCACTTCTAGATGGAGAAAAGAATATGATCATGCTAAGAAGCATGTGATGGTGAAGCTCAAGGAGATTAATACTTATGATATTTGGGCGTATGATGCAGTTTCAGCTCTAGCAATGGCTGTCGAGAGGATACAAGTTGTAGAGCAAGGAGATGAACTGAATATTAAAGATTTGGAGACGAATACTGAAAAGGATACAACACTTCTGAATCAGATGTTAAGCAATAGGAAGATGAATGTTGCACAATAGGAAGATGTGTTCCAAACTGCCTTCGCTGCATTAGATCTCAACGTATCCCTTCAATTTATTCCATTTATGGATGCATATCAAAACTACAACAATCTTATACATCAAGTCCATACCGGGGTATGCATCTTTTTTAAACCCAATATATATTTTTTCATTTCTTTTCTTTGTTTGATGCTCAGGAAAAGCATGATAATTAATCTGTTTTATTGCATTATGTTTGTTTGCATCAGGAATTTGATGCTGCAGTTGGAGATATAACAATCACCGCTAACAGGTCTCTATACGTGGACTTTACATTGCCATACACGGATCTTGGCATTGGAACGCTGTCTCGAAATGATGATGTAAGCATGTGGATCTTTATGAAACCGCTGAGTTCAGATCTGTGGCTTGTGTCTGCTTGTTTCTTTATATTACTCGGTTTTGTCATTTGGATCCTTGAACATCGGACGAATGAAGAGTTTCAAGGCTCGCCATCAGAACAGATTGGAACAACCTTATGGTTTGCCTTTTCAACCCTTGTTTATGCTCATAGTAAGCTCCCACGTCTCATTTTACTTTAATTTTTACACAACCAAGTTCCACTTTCTAATGAGTCCCATAATATCATCCTATATAGGGACCGAGACATGTCAAGGATGCCACGGGGTTGGCCATCCTTGTCCCCATCTGTGGTGAATGCAGGGGTTGAATCCCCTCCCCAACCAAGTTTCACTTTCTAATGATTCTGTAATAATAATAGATTTTTGATGAATAGTGAGAATTAAACCTTATAAAAATATGAATACATAAGGGGCCTTGGGCTAACCAAAACTCCATGGGCCTTGGATCTAAACGCTAGATGCAAATAGGGGTGAGCATTTGGACCGGACAGGACGGCTCCTGGACCGGACCGGTTTTACAAAAATTGGTGGACCTTGGACCGGACCTGTTGAGGTTTACCAAGTCCTAGTTTCCAGTTCTTGGACGTAAAAGTGAGCATTTGGACCAGACCGGTTTTACAAAAATTGGTGGACCTTGGATCGGACCTGTTGAGGCCTACCAAGTCCCCGTTCTCGGTTCTTGGATGTAAAAGTGAGCATTTGGACTGGACCTGTTTTGCAGAAAATGGTGGACCTTAGACTGGACCTATTGAAAGGTCTATTCCAGCGGTCCAAATGCTCAACCCTAGATGTAAACATACTAATAGACTTAGGTGTAATATAAACCTATTGTTATTTGGTTGGTGAATATTCTCTTTTGAAACCTCAAATATGGTACTTGGATGTAACAAGTTTTGATTACTAGTATAAGTTTTCATGGCGAAATCTTGTTCACTTTGGTTTTATACCTTGCAAGTTTTTTACAATATGGTCACTGATGATATGTTGGATCGGAGGGAAGATCTGAGGGATCAAAACAGGATCTTCGAGTATTGTATCACTTGAAATGAAGGAAGGTTAGTTGTATCAAAGACTACAATGGTCAAGTTACCCAACAACAACAACAACTACACCCAATTCCCATAGGATCATGGGGTAAGGGGATGTTAGATGTAGACAATCTGGCAGAGGGTAGAGAGACTGTTTCCATAAGAGACATTTGATAGAGAATAAATGCGAGCAATGTTCGGGTGAAAGAAATGGGGGAGGGTGTGAAATACTAATACAAGAAAATCGGAAACATAATAGATAAGGAAAAAATACGTTTATAAATACTCAAATGCACATGAAATTAAAATAAGTAACTAAAGTCCTATATAACTCCATTACCCTAATTATATGCCTCGACTCCATTATCTAATGTTATGTCCATAATACGTTCCAACTCCTTCATGTCTAACCTCAAACTATCTCCCCCCTTCCTCATTGTTGTTCTACCCTCCTCATCCCATCGATCGACAAAGTCTCTAGCCTCTGTACTGTAGTTGTCGGTTATGATACTATTGTCATATGATTATTGAAAGAGAGAAATTTTAAGGTTTTCAATGAAAAACGTTAAGGATACAAAGAAGCAAAGGGAGAATAAATACTAGCTAAGACCAAAACCCTAATGAGTTAAAGTCTAAAGGGCCCATAAACATAGACTAATAATATATAGGCTAACATCTCCCCTCAAACTCACAATACCATAATAATAAACATTGAGAGTTTGTCACACAAGAAATGAAACCGAGATGCCGATAGAGCCTTTGTAAAAATATCAGCAAGCTGCAAGGTTGATGAAACAAACATAAGCGATTTGGTTCAGAACTATAAGTGATGACGGATGAAGTGATAATCAATCTCAATGTGCTTCGCCCGTTCATGGAAAACATAATTCTTCACAATTCGTATCGCACTTTTGTTATCACAATGCAAGGGAGTAGGTGAAGAAATGTGAACCCTCATATCGGCAAGAAGCCACTGTAACCAGATAATCTCACATGTAGTCAAAACCATATCACGATACTCAACCTGCATGGAAGATTTAGAGACAACATCTTGTTTCTTGCTCTTCCATGAAATGAGAGACTCCAAAAAAATACACAAAATCCGATGGTGGATTTACGATCATGACGATCGCCATCTCAATCAGCATCACTATAGGCACGTAGCTCAAGAGAAGACGTCGAAGGAAATAAGAGGGTTTGAAACTGAGTGCCAAGAAGATATCTCAGAATACACAATACATCTCCCCAATGAACAGAGGTAGGAGCAGTGACAAACTGATTGATAACATGAATAACATGAGCAATATCCGGACAAGTAACTGTGAGATAAACCAAACTTGCCACAGCAGTGTGATAAAGATTCAGATCAGATAAAGGAACACCATCAGTAGGAGAGTACCGTGCATTGGTTTCAAAAGGAGTATCAACAATCTGATTGTCAGAGAGGCCCACTCGTGTAAACAAGTTAGATATATATTTAGTCTGAAAAAAATACACTTTCTTAGACTAAGCTACCTCAATACCCAAGAAATAACGCAACAAGCCGAAATCCTTCATAGCAAATCGATAAGCTAGATCATGCTTCAAAGACTCAATACCACCATGGTCATCACCAATAATAATCATGTCATCCACATATAAGGACGATAATCCGTCCTGCACTCGAGCATCTAACAAACAAAGCTGAATCATTATTACTCTGGATCATAATCACAGCAATAGATACGCAATCAGAGAATGAGAAGAACAACAAACCAGCAGAAACAACCAATCGAACAATAAAAGATCGAACAAAAACAAACTAACAACAACATCAAACGAATACCAACAAGCAAAAGAACATCAACGACGAAGGAGCATCAAACATGTTGGAAATGAAACTTCTATAGTATCCCTAGAAATTTTTGATCCGTCCCACAGATGACCGCTACAAAACCTTCTTACAACGTATCAAACCTACTCTCTAATACCATGATAATATTGTCATCTGATTGTTGAAAGAGAAAAATTAGAAGGTTCTCAATGAAAAGCGTTAAGGCTACAAAGAAACAAGGGGAGAATAAATACTAACTAAGACCAAACCCTAATGGGCTAAAGCCTAAAGGGCCAACAACATATAGGCTAACATGTTACTTCTTTTTGACATATAACATTCATTACCTTGAGATTTTGGTGATGTGCGCAACTTCCTACATATTTCTAATTAGATGACATCTAGCTTATACATGCCCACCCCCAATTTTTTCAACTTCAATCTTCCTTTTACGTACCTTCTATATCGGCCAACATTACAATCTAAATCCATAAAACATACTTGGCTGAATTGCTACCTTCTAGAACTTTCCATTCAATTTCAATGGGACCTTATTATTCAATACTCTAGTTGTCGCCCTTCGATTTAACCACCCCTCCCTTATATGGTGGGAAACATTGTCATTTATATCCGCTTCCTTGTATATCACAACTTACAACTACTTGAGGCTTTCCTTTAGGTGTAGTGTCGTCTCCCGAACCAGACTTCAACTACTTCCTCATTATGCTCTCTGCTTAAATTTCACCAAAGATATTATGTCTTAGTTATACTAATATGTAACCATTTTCTTCCAACAATTTCCTTCACATTTCCAACCTAGCATTCAACTAATTAAGCCTTTGTCTTTGCCACCCATAATATGTCTTTGACAAAGACCATACACCATGGCAACCCTCCCAAAGCGATGGTGAAGTTAGTGTAGAGCAAATGAGGAATTTGAGAGCAAGAGAACAAGAGTGAGAGAGATTTTAAAGTTAAAATGATCTTACCTTATATATAGGTTTCATACATGTAAAGGTGACATGTCGAGATGCTAAATTGACACACATCAACCCTCCCCACCCATCCTATGACATTGTAAAACCAGTCCAAATGTTGAATCTACACATCGAGCTTGTCTCCCATCCTTAAAACTCATACTCATGCCTTGAAAAGAAATATGTCTTTGAGATTCTTTAGTGATCCAAATGCAACACATGCCGAACGGGAGCACACAACAGCGTGATCCACCTCTGAAAATAGAGTATCATGGTGTAGCCATTGCAGTTGCCGAGGTTGCTTGGCTACACAATCTACTTCGAGAGCTACACATGTCACTACGCTCAACCACTGTTGTGTATTGCGATAACATCAGTGCAATCTACATGTTTGCCAACCCTATCCAACACCAACAAACCAAACATATTGAGCTTGATATACACTTTGTTCTAGGAAAAGTTGTAATTGGTCATGTTCGTGTCCTCAATGTTCCTTCATGCTATCCATTTGCCGACATCTTTATGAAAGGGTTACTATTTCCGCCCTTTTCGGAGCTTTGTTCTGGTTTAAGTGTTTAAGTGTGCTACAGTCTCCCCCTCAAACGGCGGGGGCATATTAGTGTATTAGTGGATATGTATTTGTATGGGCTCTCGACCCTTTCCGGCCCATCGCCTCTTGTACATCTATATATCGTGTGCGATACCTCATATCTCTTCATAGGAAAATATTGATGTTCTATCCGAAACTCCAAGCGATGTTAGCAAAAGAAATCTGATGCCGGAAAGACAACGCACTAACATGGTTCTGTAATGAGAACTCCAAAAAAATGATGCAATAGTGACAAACACCAAAACATCTCCAACCAGTGGCGGATCCAGAACCAAATCTAACCCGGGTCCAAAAAATTATAAAATTATGAAAATATAATGTATTTTTGGGTTTTTGAAGTAAAAAAAATGTCAATGAGGGTATTTAATATAAAAGTGGGGGCCAAAGAGGGGATTTTTAGTAAAACTTGGATTTTTGGAGGGCTATTTAGTAGTAAAAATTGTGGGGCCCATGCACCCCACTTAAAGGGGCTAGATGTGCTAGTGTCTCCAACCCTAAACCTCTCTTTATACCATGTAATAGTGAGAGACTTAATACTTAAGTTGATTTCATTAATGAATAGTGAATAACATGTATGTATATATAGTTGTACAAAGACTCTAATTTAGTAAGGAGGATTCCTGTCTGTGATTGCTCTTATGGTTGATCTCCTAGATTTTGGCTAATATTACAATATAAAATGTGGCTAATTGATACAATATCTACAACTGTAATACATTCTTTAAAATATTATGAAACAAATATTTATGAATGAATACGATAACCAAAACTTCAAACTAAAATACGATAGTGATCAAAATGCATGGTTTTATTTCCTTTAACTGTAATATTTGATGGAATTTAACAGTGATGGTAAGATTGATTGAGAATGATAATTTTTAAACCTAAAATCATAGTGATATATATAATCATGGGTGATGAAAAAGGAAGGTTTTGCCTTATGTGATTAGGGAGGGAGTTGACGTTTTACCAATATATATATATATATATATATATATATATATATATATATATATAACTCGTAAAAAAGATCAATATTTTGTTCAAGAAATGATGTTGTGAGTTTAGACTTACAATTTTTGGTCTATTGTACTCGATGTTTATTTTTCTTTAATCTTACTAAAAAACTATATTTGAGTTGGTGGTTGAAAATTGAAAATTGCAGGGCAGAAGTTGAAGAGTAATTTGTCAAGATTTGTAGTGACTGTGTGGTTGTTTGTAGTGCTGCTGCTTGCTTCAAGCTACACTGCAGCATTGAGTTCACTATTAACCATTGAACAAATTCGGTTAGCATCAAAAGGAGACTTAATTGGAAACAAAAATGGCTCTTTTCTGCCACATTCTACTTGAGAGGATCATGCTAATGCTTTGTCACATGGTGGTGTTGATGCAATTCTGGATGAAATTCCATACCTAAATGAATTCCTTGTGCGGTATCCATCTGGCTACTCCATGGTCATGTATGAAATGATCTCTAATGGTTTTGGCTTTGTGAGTGTCTTCACTACACTCACTCTACCATTTATTTAGTCTTGTTATTTGAATTTATAATTTGTAGATGAACTGCTACTCTACCTGTTGTTCCTAGTTTAATGTAATCGATCATTCGCAGGCATTCCCACGAGGATCGCCTTAATTTGGTCCCTGAGTTATCAAGAGAGATATCCAGACTACAAGAAGATGGGACTTTAAAAATGTTGGACAATAAGTGGTTTAAATCAGATTCACACTCAAAGGATTCTGAGCCTGTATTGAAGATCCTAAACCTAAAAGAGTGTCATGGTCTTTTTCTCAATGTGCAGGAAAGTCATACTCAAAGCAATGTGAGATGCATATGACAAAAAAAATATGTCAAATGTTCTTACAAGTCATAACATGTTCATTATGCAAACAAATACGTAAAAAAAAACAATGAAAAAAATGCCTACAATGTGTAAGATACCAATGAGTAATGATAATGAAGATACAGATCACCTGGTTGAAAGGTTTCCATAATCTTTTGTAAAATTTTCAAGTTTTTAAATGTAGTCCAAAGCTTATTAATATCTAATTTAAAATTATTCAACATTTTTAGTATTCAATCCAAGTAATAGAAAAACAAAATACAAAGATAGAAATAAAAGTATAAAACTTCTCCAAAAAAAGCCAAATATAAGCATGTTCCTTCGTCTAAAAAATTGAATTAGTAAGCCGAATGGATTCGAATGCCCGATTCATCTATGCACATCTACAATCATAGTTTTTGTAACAAGGTAACAAAGGCAATAATGCTGCTACGAACATCTACTTGTTATCTACCGGTTGTATTTTACTTATGATTTGAGCAAAATCATCTCTTTGTGAAAAAATTCATGGCAAAATACATATAAGACCTAAATAAAATGGATAATTTTCTTTTTTCATTCGATAAAAAGGTGTAAGACCGTATATTACACGGGTTAATTAAAACAAAAGTTAAATATGAAGGGTACACATGTTGATTAAAACAAAAGTTAAATATAAAGGCGTAACTCTTAAACACTAGGTGTGAGACCCATGTATTACATGAGTTTATTTAAAAAAAATTAAATATAAAATTTTAAATGAAAAGTTTGAATTTATAAGAAAAATGAGAAATTTTTTGAATTATTAAAATTAATGAGACTTTAATGTATTTGATACATTACATATATAAACTATTTTCTAATAAATACCTTACATATATATTACCTTATATATTAAATGTGGAATTTTAATTTAATAAAATGAAAATACAATAAAATGATAAGTGGAAAATAGAAAATTTAAAATTTTTAGAAAATGCCATATGTCCAAATGAAGGAGAAAAGGACATGTGACAAAAAACCTTCATTTATTAGAGTAGATTTTTTAAATTAACATTTGGAAATAAAAATAGTAAGCAAAAGTAATTTATATTCAAAAGTCATTACTTGATTATAATGATTTTTATACCCTTCAACACAATGCATCAAAAGATGACAATTTGTGCGCAACTCAAAAAAAAAAAAAACTCACTTGTTGAAGTAACTTATGATAAATTCAAGTCATCATGCTAACACTTAATAATATAAACAACCTAGTCTAAAAAAGTACTTAAACATTAATAAATAGTGTTCTAATTTGTTACTTTTTACTCATTTTTAGATGAGAAAACCTCAAAATAAATAAATAAATAAATAAATAAACTACCTATTACATACCGGTCCTTAAAAAACCTTTATATTATTTTTTAATACACTTTAACTAGGGGTGGAATTGATAGGTACCAATTCATTTTTTTCACTTAACCGTGTACCGTACCAATTATACTTGGTAGAAAAAAATGTATACCACTATTGTACCAAGTATAGTTGGTACCAACTTGTTTAGCTACCAATAAGTTCGGTACATATTGGTAATTGTATATACCAACATGTATGGGGGTTTTGTGAATGACGATGTTCATGTTCTTGAGCATGGTGAAACTTCAATGGAGAGTTTTGTGAATAAAAGTTTTGTAAAGGTTTTGAAAAATCAATCCAAAATGACTTTATTAATTTATATCATGTGTTTATAAGTTAAAGCGGTGGAGGAATATTGGACACGCTAACTTAAGTTTAAAACTTTAATCTTTACTAATTCAGTAAATGCTAATATCAAAGATCGAAAATCATAAACCCCAAACATACTAAAATTATATATATATATATATATATATATATATATATATATATATATATATAAATATATATATATATATATACACACACACACACACATACACACACACACACTAAATTGGTTGGTATGATATTACCGTGGTATTGAAAACTTTGTACCACTACCGTACCATGATTTCACAATTGGTATAGTACTACCAACCAAACATGTTGGTTAACAAACATATTGGTTACCGATATTCTTGGTTCGGCCAGTAACATGTTGGTTTGTTTTCCGTGGTACATATTTGTCAGCCCTAACTTTAACCATTAATCTTTCTTACTTTTCTTGTTATCATTCTTTGTAACCGGTTAGCCCTAAGCAAACTGTAATATAAATGACATGGCTGTAAATAGATGATGTGGTTTTAATTCTTTCTTACCTTTCTAAATAGAGCATCAATCGAGATAAGACTTGAACATAAATTCAATTAGATGAAGTGAATCGAAATACAAGAACAAATCGAGATACAAGAATGAATTGAGATACAAAAACGAATCAAAGTATCCGATTAATCAAATGGAATGAAACTTGGATTCCAGCAAACAGATCTATGAACAGTAAAAGATCATATAATTTGGGCTCAAGATTAGAAGAACAATGAACAGTAATGGATCAAAGTTGATTAGGTTGGATAAAAAACAGTTTAGGCTAATCTTTTGATTGAACTAACAAAAATGATTGGACCAACAATGGGTTAGAAAATGAAATGGATCCAATCAGAGTTAAAATGAACAAGTAATTGATCATAAGAGCACAATTTCGAGAGATCATCGAGAGACTCACCAAAAATTGTTCGTATTATGTTGATTTTTGCCAAATCGAGAATCATTTCTTCAAAATTTACTTCAATCTTCGAAGACCCACTATGATACAAAATGTAGTGAATTATGAGCATTTGATTTGACATGAAGAATTGTAAGAACACAATGAACATGGTGATTTGGATGCTAAAAGATGTATTCGATCATAGTAATGACTACAAAAATAGATCTAGTTCTACATAAATATCTCAATCACTAATCATAATGAACTACATCTGTCAAGCACACTCTACTAGTGGGTTTATTAGGGAGGATTATTGCAATTATGACATTAAAATATTATGTGGAATTAAATAAAAAAAAAACTCAAAAAATGATATGTGGAAAAAAATTAATTTAAAATAACCACAAAATGACATTTAACAAATTGAATAAGAATGTGACAAATGGCAAAAAAAAAAAAACTTCATTTATTAGAGAGGATTATTGTAATTATTACATTAAAATATTATGTGTTGCTAAGTTATTTTTCCTATAAATACGAGATTTTCATATGTCAGAAAAGTGTACATAAAAGAAATCTTCGTATGTACGGAAATAACCCATTATTTCGTCCTAAAGGCAAAAGGAGTTGCAGAGGTGATATCTTGAAGAATTCTTGAAGAACGTATTAGGTTTGCAATGTTTACTATACTTTTTATTTGTTCTTTATGTTTTTCTGTAAAACATGAGAGGCTAAAAACCTTCTCTTTCATTTAAATGTGGATGAACTAAAGTATGGAAATATCTATATACTCAATAATCATTAAAGAATGATAATTGCTAATAACACATGAAAATATAAGGTCACATCTTATAGCAAGTAGAAACTTATTGATTATTTATTAAGTAATTTGATTATTAATAAATATTATCAAATCTTGTATCTAATTGAAAAATTATTATTTTATGAAAATAATATTTTGCAGAGAGAATAACAACAAAATGAGAAATTATTGTTTCGTGGAAATAATAATAAATGAGAGCATAACTTGATATATTCATATGATATGAATATATAAGTTGTGTATATTTATTTTGGACACTTTGTAGTTCATTTGAGTGTCACTAGGATATATTAGTTATAAGATTGATTAAAAGACATGCCAACTCTCTCAACCTCTCTCATAATCCCGTGGATCCCTTAAGGGATGGGAAGGTTGCCTGTTTGACATAGTCTTTCACCCCATGCTTTCTTATATATCCATACTTGTGCATTTAATTAAGGTATGGTCTTTACTTCATGCTTGTAAGTATAAAAGAGATCATTGACTTGAAAAAGATAGTTTTTTTTCATCTCTTTTACTCTCAAAACTGTGAGCTTCAATATCTCTTTCCTTCTCTTATTTATAGCAAAGTGTTGTGTAGATTTGAGTGTTTTATTTTCTTTTCCTTTAAGACTAATTTGTTATTGGTTTTTAGAGGTTTAAGAAATGCTTAATACAAGAAAAGACTAGCATATTTGGTAGCCATCATTTGCTTGATGGATACTTCTAGAGAAGCTTTACCTTGAGTCTTTTGCCATATTTATCGACTTCCGAATTCCCAAAAGGATTCTAGGTCTTCAAATCTTGTAGTTCTTTTTCCTTCTATGGTTGTTTTTATCTTTCCTTTGGTTGCTAGCTGATCCTTAATGGGAAATAATTAGTTTATGATATTCATTTTAAAATTATTCTTTTGCCAAAATAATAGCTTTTGAACCTATTTTTGAATATAAACATAACAATTGGTATCGGAGCCATGTTGCAAGTTTGGTTAGATTATTTGGATAATCTTAGGTTTTGGAAAATATGGATAATTTGTTTTTTTGTTAAAAATGAGTTCATACATATTTTCTATGACAACTTTATAATTGTTATTTTTTGTGATAAAAGTTTACATGCATATTTTTGTTGGGTTTTTTTTATTCAAAAATTGTTTCAAAAACATAAAGATGGAAACGAAAGACTTTAATTTTGAACAAAATAAAACAACTTTTATTCCTACCAAAAGATCATTTTGCAAGACTTAGAAATATAAAACAACCATAGAAAGAAAGTGTTACAACCTTCGAAGACTTTGGTTCCTTTTGACAATCAAGAAGTTGATGAAGATGACTTTAAGCTCCAAGAAAGAAGCTCTTTAGAAGTATCCACCAACATTTAGCCAACTTGATAAGATGTTAGTCTTCATCTTGTAATCAAAGAATCTCTTAAGCTTTTAAGAACAAAACAAAGCTTTTGTTCTAAAGGAAAGTTTAAGTAAAGTATCAGCTTCTTCCTACTTTAATCTTAACACTTTTAAGAGGCATAAAATAGAAAGAACATGGATATGGTAAGGCCAAAATTTCATGGGTTTGGGCTAGTAAAAGAAGAGATACACGCAAGCCTTTTAATAATCTTAATCTAAGTCCTTACCCATTGAGTCTTGATGCTTTAATACACCATGCATCTAGCAACAAAAGGATACAAGTGTAAGAACATGGATTTATGATTAAATAAATGCAATCATATCTTCTTTTCCCTTGATGGTCTCTTTGAATATTTTATAAAAGGAAGAAGCTAGTTTTTCTATAAAAACTTTTCTAATTTTATAACTTATAAAACATATAAATCCATATAAGACAAAAAACCCTTTTGGTCTAAAAAGTTGTACATGACATAATAAATCATACCTTAGGATATATTATGATATATTTTGATACATAGCGTTGTAAATCAATATTTCAACAAAATGAATAATTTCCAATTAATTACAAGATATATATTTATTTATCAAGAATCAAATTCTTATAAATAATATATTTGCTTCAAGTTGTTGTTAGTGTGACCCTTTAGGTTCATTTATTATCTAGCAATATCATTCTATAATGACTCTTGGGTATATAGATCTTTCAGTTTTGCCGTTAAAGTTGTCTTAGAAAAACAAATATTGTTTTAATATGTTTCGTATTTTAGAGTGTATAAACAAGCCATGGTTTTCACCTTTATCAATTATCACCTATCACTTCATGTGTTCTGCAATTCATAAAATATAAAATATGGACTTCAAATGAAGTTGCTCCACTGAACATGTAAAGTATAGTACTAGACCAGAGAAAATGAGTGGTTTCTTGTCAAAAGATTGCTTCTCAGTCTTCGGAAAGAACACTGCTAGAAATTCTAAGCGTATTTAAAAACCTTATGCTGATGTTAACTAATTTGAAGATGCAATTGAAAAGGGGTCCATGTGTGGTTGACATTTTGATTTATTTTTATATATTTGATTACATTCTTGATGATCTCTTTGTCTTGACCATATGTTGACGTTGATAGGATACAATTAAATGGAACAAAGAAATTTCCAGGTAGTTGAGACATTTGAATTCTTCTTGACAAGCTACTGATTAGCCTTCTTTATCCACTAAAATATTGCACGTTTGCTGTTTGTTATTTTAAATTTAGGATATATAATATTCAGACAGCGAAATCTTTTGTTTCAAGACTTGAATGATGTATACGGGAGTATATATATGTATATATTTGGTCAACTGATTGGCATAAGTCTTCTCGTGAGACTAATCAATAAAAGGAGAGACATCAAAGGCGAATGAAATATAGAGAACACAGAACAGACTGTAACATAATCTTTGTTATTGCATCAACATGAGCATTTTTTACCATTCAATAATGAAGATAAATAGCAAGGAGAGAAGACACCTATCATTTTTAATGTTGATGTTGGTTTGCTTTGAGGTACATGATACAAAAGCACAAGAGGATCCACTCTACAAGGAGATCCCAGGAGGTGTCAGTGTCACAGCCAATCCAATGCATAATAGGAGGAGGATGCCACTACAATTAGTGAATAAGAAAAACCTCAGAATTGGCGTTCCACCGGAATTTGAATCAAATCGAGTTTTTCAAGTGAAGCATGATGCTGAAACTAATTCAGTAGTCATTTCAGGGTTTTGTGCAGACGTGTTCCAAACTGCCTTCAGTGCATTAGGTCTCAACGTATCCCTTCAATTTATTCCATTTAAGGATGCATATCAAAACTACAACAATCTTATACATCAAGTCTATACTGGGGTATGCATCTTTTTAAACCTGGTATATATCTATATCTATATATATATATATATATATATATATATATATATATATATATATATATATATATATATATATATATATATATATATATATATATATATATATATATATATATATATATATATATATATATATATATATTCTTTGTTTGATTTGATGCTCAGGAAAAGCATGATAATTAATCTGTTTTATTGCATTATGTTTGTTTGCATCAGGAATTTGATGCTGCAGTTGGAGATATAACAATCACAGCTAACAGGTCTCGATACGTTGACTTTACATTACCATTCACGGATCTTGGCATTGGACTGCTGTCTCGAAATGATGATGTAAGCATGTGGATCTTTATGAAACCGCTGAGTTCAGATCTGTGGCTTGTGTCTGCTTGTTTCTTTATATTACTCGGTTTTGTCATTTGGATCCTTGAACATCGGACGAATGAAGAGTTTCAAGGCTCGCCATCAGAACAGATTGGAACAACCTTATGGTTTGCCTTTTCAACCCTTGTTTATGCTCATAGTAAGCTCCCACGTCTCATTTTACTTTAATTTTTACACAGCCAAGTTCCACTTTCTAATGAGTCCCATAATATCATCCTATATAGTTATGGAAATTAACATGTCAGTGATGTGATGTTGGATATAGAGTAGATAGACAAGCAGTCAAATAGTCAAATAATATTGAGAATCATATGTTGATTAGGTGCGAATAATAACTCAAATTATTTATTATTAATTACCAAGTTTCGTCTAGAAGCCAAATTGATCGTTTGCGTTCAAATTTGATTATAAGAAAGGTAGAAGGAAGACCGTCCGTTGTCAGACGAATTAAAAGACGAAACAGTAAAACTAAACACAACCTTAAAGGCTTTTACAACGATCTAAGGCTGTAAGCGGCATAAAATCCAGGATTTGATGCAAAATATCCTTCATTCCAAGAACTATGGAAGAAGCGAGAAACGCAAAGTTACTCGGAAACAGGAAGAAAGTTGCAAACTGCAAAGGGAGAGAACAGAGAACAAATAACAGACCATAGAAGAGAACAGAGGAGGCTGTGTGATTTTTGGTGTGGAGTAAATGCCACCTGAGAAGTCCTATTTATATTGAATACGAAAAAATCAAATCCCCCCCCCCCCCCCCCTCCAAAAAAAAAAAAATTGGATATGATGACTACACCCGGTCTCTTAAATGCTTTCGTGTGGCAGCGATTCGAATTCGAATCCGTCGTTATCCGGTGTTTCTGGATACTTATGGAATGTTTCGCCTGCTTATCAAGAAGTCAACGATGGTCAAAACGTTGACTGCGGGTCGTTCCAACCGACTCAACCCTAACTTGTCAAAGTGCAAAGTGCGTCTAAATCGAACCATTTCACGAACTCATGTCCACGGCCCGGTTAGGCATGCTTGTGTGGGCTTGGCCCATCTTTTGTCTTCACTAAATCCTTTAAAGGCTTAACAAGAGAAAAGTCTTATAAACACACTTCATGGTTCTTCCTCCACCAATACGGGAAAATGAAAATAGCCAACTTGATTATTCCTCAATTGTTTCCAACAATCCCCCACCAAGTTCAAAGGTTTCCTTTCACTCAAATAAATGACATCACCTAGATGTCATAAAGATTAAACCCAAACATAATGTGATAAATAATAAGAGACCAATTCAATGATATCCTTAATGATTTAAATCAAGAACCTTGTGACATCTCCAATTTACCCCTACATATCACGTGCCGACTTTGCATTCTCATTGAGCGCTAATATGGCCATACACTATAAACCCTTTCCATGACCATTTAGAAGATAAACACTAATCTTCATTTAAGGCGACACCACATCTAGATCATATAGGAATTTTTTTTTACATAATCTTCATTGCTTAGATGTCTCTAATACTTCTTTAATAGTTCTAACTAAACCTCATTCTCGACAATGATGTACTATCCTACCTCACATGGATTTGTCATTATTGAGGGTACCTTGTATTGTTAGTGACTTAATTGTTACCCTTTAAACTTGAGAATTATGAGCACTACTGTCAAGTTAGTTTTCCATCACATAATTCTATTGTGGCTTCAGACCCATGACTCTCATGGTAGTTGTAACAAAATCTCTTATAAGAGGTTTGGTAAGTGGATCTACCATGTTCTTACTTGTCTTGACATAGAGTTGTTTCACAAAATTGTGTCGTAGACCAACGCTTCTTGACTTCTCATTATACAACGTATTCTATACTTTAGATAGTATGCCATCACCGTCTTAATATATATGTATAGATGGCAGTGGAATATCCCACAGTCAGGTATCCAAGAGTATATCTCTAATCTACTGTCTCTTTGCATGTCGTTGCTAAGGAAATAAGGTTATCTTTCATCGTTACATGAGCTATACATATCTATTTCTTGCTCTCTTAAGAAATAGCATCACCAGCCACAATATAAATTCAACCACTTGTGGAGTTAGAATCATAGGTATGATCTATTTTTCTTTCATCATTACGTGAGCTATAAATATTTATTTCTTGCTCTTGGATCGAACTGGTTTCGGAGAGTACCCGTGGATGGTGCAGTAGATGCAGCGGACAGGATGAGACTTATCGGGTCCAGGTCCAGGTCTGGTTTTTCGGTTCTCGGACCCGTTTGGACTGGTACAACTTTACATGAATACTGTACAACTTGTTAAACGTGTTTTTGGGTTTGATACAACTCGTTAAAACAAATATGTTGTTGGATTTGATACGTTACAATACATTAAAATGAATACTTTTTTGGCTTTAATACGGTACAACTCGTAAACGAATACATTTCCTTTTTGAAAAATCTATCAAATCCTCAGTTTGAGTTCAGACACACTCGAGAGTATGTCTGCATCCCTCAAACCAAGGCTCTGATACCAACTTGTAATGTCCCAAAATCTAAGACCAAAAATTTCATTTTTATAATAGTAAAATCATCATCCAAAACGTTTCATAAAACCATAAAAGAAAATCAGAGTATTTCAGAAATCATCCAAATACATCAAGTCAACAAAACGTGGAACAACATGGTGTGTGCGATGCGATCATCCCGAGCCCTTCCCCTTGATCCGGAAGTACCTAAACATAAACTAAAAGTTGTAAGCAGGAAGTTAGTGAGTTCCCTAAAATACCGCATACCATAATAATCTACCAGCTCAAGGTTGTGTCGGGTCTATTTCACCCCGAATCTATTTGAACTCATGCGTCGGCCCAAACAGTATTGGGTTTATTTCACCCTCGGGTCTATTTCACCTCGAGTCTATTTCAACTCATATGTAACGACCCGTCCCTAGTATGTGGTTTTTAGTATTTATTTTTGAAGTTCATGGAGGAACTCGGCGAGTCTATGTCCTGACTCGTCGAGTAGGGTCGCGTTGTTGATCAGCGTATAGATCGGCGACTCGGCGAGTCCATATTCGAGACTCGACGAGTCGGCCTGCCAGGTTGAAACCCTAAATCTTCGGGTTGCTTACTATTTAATCCACCTTATAGCCCCCATTCTCGCCTCCTTCACCCTCAGAACGCTGTGAGAAAACCCTAATCCATCCTTGAGTGATCTAAGTGTTCTTGTGTTGATTTGTGAAGGCTTGAAGAAGGAGAAGAAGAAAGGAGCAAGGAGAAGAGGAGTAGTGCAAAGATCCAAGGGCAAATCAGAGTTATTTGAGGTATTCTTCGGATTTCCCTCTTGTTTTATGCTTTAAACCTCCATTAGAACTCTTCTAGATCTAGTTGATGCTTTTCCCAAGCCTTATGATTGTATGAATGCCCTAATAAGTCGAGATATCCTTAGATCTATTCATTGAGAAGTTTCAGAGCCCAGATCTATTGCCTTCATGAAGATACTTTGCATGGAAACCCTAGATCTAGCCTTTATTATGCTTTTTGAGCTATTTTATCTTCATGAATGCATATGGGCACGTAAAGATAGAATCTTTACGTGCTAATCGAGTTAAGGGAGTCCAGATCTATAAGTTTTATGCACTGGATTCAAGCAGAATCAAGTTTCGAGTTGCTGCATGCAAGCGACTCAGCGAGTCGGAAGAACAACTCGGCGAGTCGAGCCGCGAGCCCGGATTTTTCCCTTTTTGAGTGTTGCCGAGTGAGACCAGTGAGTGATGGAGTGGACTCAGTGAGTTGTGGTTAGACTCGGTAATGGAGGGACTCGGCGAGTTTTTCATACTACTCGGCGAGTCCAAGGCAATCTTCTTAGCTCGAAGAACAACTCGTCGAGTTGTTCATACGGCTCGGCGAGTCTGATGCAGATTGCCTGAGGTTTTAGATTCGAAAGGGAACTCGTCGAGTTGATGCCATACTCGACGAGTCTATGTCCCGAGTAGGGTGAGTAATGAGAGTAGGGACTCGGCGAGTTGGCGGCCCAACTCGGCGAGTCAGGTCAACTGTAAAGTTGACTTTGACCAGGAGAGTTGACTTTAGCCAGGGGTAAAGGAGTCATTTACCCCAATACAGTTATTAATAATTTGATTGAGTGTAATTGTGGATTTGTAGCCGGGGAGATACTGGAGCAGTAGCAGATAGTTCCCGGAGCCACACACTCAGCAGCCAGATCACGAGGTGAGTTTCCCTTCAGTAGGAACGGGTCTAAGGCCACAATACCGGCCCGTTTAGCTAGCAGTAGTATCCGGACTTCGGTTCGATGCAGATTTTAGTATGTTTGATGCCTTCGTGGCTCGAACAGTATTTGGTGTTATGTGTTCCGGGTCACATCCCGATGTAGTATGCTATGCATGTACTCATGTTAGTTGATATGCTTATGTGATGGTATGTTCAGTATGTTCCGGACTTCTGTCCGATGCAGTTAGTTCCGGACTTCGGTCCGATGCAGTAGTTCCGGACTTTGGTCCGATGCAGGAGGCAAGGCCTCAGTAGTTCCGGATCCCGATCCGATGCAGAGGGTAAGGCCCTGGTTAGTTTCGAACTTTGGTCCGATGCAGTTTCCGGACTTCGGTCCGATGCAGTGGGCAAGGCCCAGTATGTGATTATATGTATTATATGGTATGTGGTAGTTTGGGGGAGCTCACTAAGCAAAGGGAAGAGCTCGAGTTGATGGCATCGTACACACACACCACAACATCATTTGTCCTGAGAGTTGTTTTGTTTTTCATAGATGTGACTAATACATTCTTGATTCAGTTTACTTATAACACTTTATTATTGATGTGAGATATTGACGTACGATTTTACCTTATGATTTTATTATTGTGTTTTTAGTAATTATAAAAAAAAAATTTGGGTCATTTCTTTTGGGATGTTACATCATATGTCAACATAAGCTAGTACCGAGTCTATTTCACCCCACATACATATAGAAAACAAGCACACATGCATTTAACACATACAACAAGAGTCATAAAGACTACAAACATATAAAATATCCTAGTATCCTACAGTATCGCGAGCAAACTCACCTCAGTGTGCTGACAATCAAACACATGATTGGGCTACTGAACCAGAATTCCCCACTTAATCACAAGTAAAGAAACACTAATTATAAATTAGGTCAATAATCCAACCTGTGAGTCCAAACCCTAAATCCTGACCTTAAGGGAAAAAGTTGCTTATTCATTGCCTTATTGGGCCTAACCCATCAAGGCCCAAATGTTAATAGCCACGAAGCCCAAAAGATAATCTATGTCCGAAATGGGCCCAAGCCTAAAGGCCCACCACAAAAAAACTTAGGGCCCAACAAGGGCCCAAAATTCCTAAGTCCTAAAAATGGCCCGAAATAAAACCCAAAGTCCACTCTGGAGAGTGCGCTCAGCATACCAATCGGTACGCCCGACGTACTCACGACCTTCGCCTAGTCGGGGCCTCAAATGCGTATGTGCAGCGTACCCTAAGGTACACCCAACGTACGCTGCAACTGGTCAAAACCTAATTCTAAGGTCTTAATCAGTTAAGACCCAACGTCCAATTTCAGATCTAGGCTTATTAAAGTGTATTAAGCCATAAAGTTGCCAACTTTATGCTTTTGCATGCCTTAATGGGGCAAATCTTGGTTTTAACCACATTATCTTCATGAAACCACCTTTAATCCTTGCATGATTGAACTTAAGCCATCAAGACTTCGTTTTTATGCTCTAGGGATATTAGAAACACTAGGATCTAACATTATAACCTTTTAGAGTAGCTAATACTCTCAAGAAATACCTTAAGGACCATTTTATGATGAAATAAGTCCTAAACTAAAAACTAACACATGGAGTCATCAAGGTAGAAGCTTTTTATTTGTAATAAGCTAGAAATGATGAGAAACCTCTCGATCTACAAGCTCTTTTTGATCCAATGCTTCTTCACAAATCTTATTCTTCTTCTCTAAGTATCTCACACACCCAAAACACACACACAAGCTCAAACTTTAGGGAAAATGAATTTGGGTTTCGAGATATTACTCAAGAGGCAAAGGAGACCGATAAGGTGATGAAATTGAAGGACTTAATGAGCTTAAATAGGGTGCAAACACTAAAACTTAGGGTTTGCCTCTAGCTTGAGTACGTCCTGCGTATACATGGGTGTACCCGGGTCACCCCTGATTCGCGTATGCAAAGGAGTATGCCGTGCATACCAAGTGTACGCCCAACATACTCATGTTTAGACCAAAGATAATACCTGAAATAACTAGCAAAGAGATTAACCTGCCAAGATGGGTGTTACATGCAACTTTGATATCTCATCCTTGAAGGATTGTAACTCATTGAACAAAACACCAAAAACAACAAAATTATAGTATAAAATCATCTACAAGCTCTGAATTATACGTTAGAAAAAACCTCATATCAATCTGACTTAGAACAAATGAGATATGTTTGTTTAAATAATTTTCACGGAATACCATTTTTTTTAAAATAAGCTAGTCTTGGACCGGTTTTTACCGGGAACCGACCGGACCGGATCGGTAAAAAAATAGGACCGATTTTGCTCAAATCCTAGAACCGAGAACCAACCCGAGGGTCCAAAACAGGTACGGTCTGGTCCACACCACAGGTGCAAATGCTTACCCCTAACATATCATTTTCACCTTGATACCAAGAATAGTATCTACTTCTCCTAGATCTTTCATCTTAAAGTTTGAGGATAAGTATTTCTTCATGTCAATAATACCTTCCTGGATTATCAACATATTGTTAACATAAAGACAGATAATGATAATGTATTTGGGGTGTACATTTTGAATAAATACATCAATCAACATTATTGTGCTAAAATACAAAAGCAATCATAGTGGTGTCAACATACCATGTGGTAACTCGAATTCGAATTCGATGACATCATTATTCGATGTCTCATCCAATTAAAACTTTGAGTTTTTATCAAGTGTTTTGAGGCTTTCATAATGTTCTGTTGACTTATTTACACGTTGATTGGATCGATCCAACTGACTCGAACCAAACTTGCCAATAAAATAAAAGCTCCTTATCTCTCGATGTGGCATGCAAAGTGAATAGTACGCCTAAATCATGCCATTGAGTGAACTCACATCCACAGTCGATACATGCGTATGTGGGGGTTTGGCAGATCTCTTGTCTTCATTAAAGCCTTTGAAGACTTACAAAGAGAAAAACCTTGTAAGCTCGCTTTATGTTTTTTCCCCGCTATGTGGGAGCAAGGAAAATAACACACTTGATTATCCCTCGATTATTTCCAACAAGGGATGGGATGGGGTTGGCCATTCCTGTCACTAGCTCTAGCAGGTGCGGGGAATCAGACCCCCTTCCCAACAAAGTTTCACTTTCTAATGATTCACATAATATAATCATTTTATTATTTAGTTGGTGAATATTCTCTTTTGAAACTTCGAATATAGTACTTAGATGTATCAAGTTTAGATTAATATTATATATTTCCAAGGCAAAATATTGGTCACTTTAGTTTTATACCTTGCAAAGTGCACATGAAATTAAAATAAGTAACTAAATTCCCATACAACTCCATTATCCTAATTATGTCTCAACGTCATTGTTCCAACTCCTTTATCTAATGTTATGCCCGTAATATGTGTTAACTCCTTCATGTCAAACTCAAACTATCTTCCCACTTCCTCATCGATCGTTCTCCCTCCTCACGCCGTCGGCCGAGGAAGTCTCTAGCCTCTATATCGTAGTTGTCGGTTGCTTCATTTTGACATATCCAAATCCGTGTAATATTCCCAACATTAAGGCTTCACCATTTCGGTGACCGACAACATCCTACATATTTCTAATTAGAGAATTTTGTATATTCTCCTACATTGTTTTACCATATGTCCACCTTAGCATCCCTATTTCTACAAATTCCATCTTCCTATTCTACACCTTATTTATCGGCCAACATTCCAATCTAATCCATACAACATATTTGGCCGAATTCCCACTTTCTAGAATTTTCCACTCGTTTCAGTCAGACCTTATTACTTAATAGTCTAATCACCGCCCTTCGATTTAACCATCCCTCCCTTATATGGTGGGCAACATTGTCATTTTCATCCCCTTCCTTATATCACAATTTACAACTACTTGAAACTCTCCTTTGAGTGTAGTAGTTTTTGCCAATGCAGACTTCAACCTCTTCCTTTATTATACACCCTGCTTAAATTCCACAAAATATATTTTGTCTTAGCTATACTAATATTTAAGCATTTTTCTTCCAACATTTTTCCTTCAAATGTCAAATCTAGAATTCAACCAATTAAGCCTTTGTGTTTTCCATCCACACAATATCTTCGGCAAACAGAATAAACCATGGCAACCCTCCCTAAGCTATGGCGGTCAAGTTAGTGTAGAGAAAATGAGGATTTTGAGAGCAAGAGTGAGAGATTTTAAAGCTATGATGTCGTGAGTTAAGACTGACGAATTTCTGGTCTATTGTATTTGATGTTTATTTTTCCTTAATCTTGCTAAACTATTTTTAAGTTGGTCGTGGAAATTGCAGGGCAGAAGTTGAAGAGTAATTTGTCAAGATTTGTGGTAAGTGTGTGGTTGTTTGTAGTGCTGGTACTTGCTTCAAGCTACACTGCATCATTGAGTTCACTATTGACCATTGAACAAATTCGGTTAGCATCAAAGGGAGACTCAATTGGTTACCATGATGGTCCCTTTGCGGAGGGATACATTGTTAGTAACTTGAATTTTAAAGATACCAGTTTGAGGCCATATTCTACAACATCAGAATATGCTAAAGCTTTGTCTCGTGGGAGCAAGAACAATGGTGTTGATGCAATTGTTGATGAAATTCCTTACCTAAAGGAATTCCTTGCACTGTATCCATCTGGCTACTCCATGGTCGTGTCTAAAATGACTACTAATGGTTTTGGCTTTGTGAGTGTCTTCACTCTACAATTTATTTAATCTACCATTTTTTTTGAATTTATAGATGAACTCTTCATGTTGTTGTTCCTAGCTTAATTTAAGTTGTAATTCATTCGCAGGCATTCCCGCGAGGTTCACCTTTGGTCCCTGAGTTATCAAGACAGATTTCCAGACTACGAGAAGATGGGACCTTAGCAAAGTTGGAGAGTAAGTGGTTGAAATCAGATCCACAGTCAAAGGATTTTGAGCCTGTACTGAAGATCCTAAACCTAAAAGCGTGTCGTGGTCTTTTTCTTATAAGCGGGGTTTCAATGGCTGTGGCCCTTCTCATATTCTTGCTTTATTTTATTCATGAGAAACTGCATTTCACCTACACAATGCTGGCTGGAGGAACGCTTGCATTCATAATGAGGATTCTCAACCCTAAAACTGGTGGTTGAAAGAAGATGATACCAATAACAAATACAACCATGCCATTCATTATGTCACTATTTATTTGTTGGACTACTACACTTTGTTACCCCCTTCCTTTCTAGGATCACACTCATATGATCATTGTTAGATATTTCACCAAACTACTTTCTGGTGTAGTTTTTTTGGTATTTGGAGTATTAATTTATCGACATTTGATAAACCTGTTTTTTTCCTTTGCTTTTCCTAATGGCTTGTTAATGTTGGGTTTAATCCAGATTCTATGATAGTTCTATTTATTATTTATTTTTAAGAGTCGGTTGTTAGCAAAATACTATAAAGCATAGATCCATACCATATTATTGAATCATCATGACATAAAAGAAATCATTCCTTGATTGTGACGTCTTTATGATGCGGAATTTCGACAACTAACTAGAACCGGTGTGTGATGATCTGCAACCAATTTTAGATGATGGGATCAAGATTGCATAGAAAATGTTTGTGTATTTTTGTATGTTGGGGACCATCGACTATATGTGCACAAAGGCTTAGCGCCCCCATTGAGCTCTAATTTATGACATTCAATGATAATATTAAATAGTCGATTGTAATTTATGACATTCAGTGATAATATTAAATAGTCGATTGTAACCTATCACGCATTTAATACCCATTAAGTTCTAATATATTATACTTGTTACTATAATAATTCAAATTATCTATCGATTGGTATTTTATTGATCATGTTTCCTATTTTTTGGTGTAAATAGTTAGGGTTAGAAATTGTGGATCAGTGGTTGTAGTAACTGCTCTAAGTTGGCTTGATTTCATTTGTATGTAGCCATGAAGAATCATAGTAAAGTTGATTATCTCTCCAAATTCTTCCCAAAACCTTTATATGGGTAGTTTTTCATAGCTCAAACGCACTCATGATGGGTATTGGGTACAGTAGTTCTCAAGGTGCAACCGACAAAGATGATATTGCAGGAAATCATACTCAATTTTCCAACATTCAATGAGAGGGAGAGGTTGAAGACAAGGATGTAGCAATTGACAAAAAAAAACAGTGCCAAATGTTCTTACAAGTCATAACATGTTCATTATGCAAACAAATGCGTAAAAACGACAATGAGAAAAATGCCTACTATGAGCAAAATATTAGATACTAATGAGTAATGATAATGAAGATACCAATCACTCGGCTCAAAAGGTTTCTATAATCTTTCATAAATTGTGCCAAGTTTTTTAATCTAATCCAAAGCTTATTAATATCTAACTAGTCTATAGTCCGTGCGAACCACGGTTATAAAATTAATTAAATTTTTCTATTAAAAATCAAAATTATTAATAAATTATTTTAAATAAATTATTACTTAGCATATATTTTTTAGTTATATAAAGTTATAATCGTTGATTTAAATAAATACATGAAGTTATATCATATTATAATCTGTATTTATTTTATTTTATTTTTTAATCTAATGTTATTAATTCAATATAATTAAAGTGAAAAAATTGAAAATTGAAATTTAAAAATTTATGTAATTAGAGTGGTAAATTTTAAATTTTAAATTTGAAATGGATAATTAATATGTTAACAAATAACATAATAAATGACATATAAGTTTAATAAGGAGTTCTAATATAATGTCACTTGTCAACACGATATTAATGTTATTCATTAAGATTTGAAATTAAAATTCTTAATTATTCGACATTTTTAATATTCAATCCAACTAACAGAAAGAAAAGGATAAAAATAAATTTTAGCTTAGAAAAAAGCCCGACAAAAGTTATGATAGGTCCAGTCCGGTTTAAGCAGATCGAAGGCCCTGTTCGTAAAAATCATTTTTGTATACCTACGGATTTGTGGGTTCATGGGAAAGCCACAATACATATAAGACCTTAAAAATCGATGATATTCTTTTTTCATTCAATAATTTATCTGTATATAATATTGTTTTGCGCTTTTAGATTGTGCGACTCCCTTTTTGGTCCCAGCAAATGATCTTGTCCCACGTCGGCATGCATATCAAATGAAAGAAGATTTATATGAATATTCGACAGAACGAAAGTGATGACCTTACTTGAACTCTGTATTCTTGATTCTTAAGAAGTCATAAACCCATATTATCAACCGTAATGTTTGGTCAGTTTTGCATCTATACATTATTTAATATACAATGTTAGAAATTAATATACAATTAAAAAAAAAATGTTAGAAATTAATATACAATTAAAAAAAAAAAAAAACGTTAGAAAGATCTATAATCCTTTTTTTCATCCATGCTTTGAATTAGCCATTTGACCCGTTGCCCAGTCTATCCGTATCTGATCCATCCTTTTTGTATAGGTTTGCTTTGATGCTGATAGCTCTGACCAGTCAATGGTTTAGACTAAACAACTCTGACCAGGAACTTGTTCCTGTAGACAATGTCAGTATTTTCATGGCGGCATAATTAAATGTCAACTAATTAATGACCTGTCATGCACTCATGCATGATTATGTATTCCTTATATTTGTTTAGGTTCTTGTTTTGACAATACTCCATTATCTTTCTTCACTTGTAATAGTGTTACTTAATATGTCTTCCTGATAAACCAAGAGTTAGCTGCAGGAAACTTAAACTTTGTGTTGCAAATGGCGGGTAGCAGGTTCTTTCCATTTCTGATATTGATGTTGCTTAGCTTTCAAAGCCTTTCAACAGCACATGAAGATCCAACTTACAAGGAAGTACAAGTGGGAGTGATTCTTGACATGGAATCATGGGAAGGGAAGGTCATTTCTCGTTGCATCACCATGGCTATTTCTGACTTTTACACATCCAATCCTCACTACACAACAAGAATAGCTTTTACAACCAGGGATACCAAAGGAGAACCACTGCGTGCCTTGTCTGTTGGTACTATCTTTTTATCTTTTTTTTTAAAAAAAATACTCTTTTTTAGAATACTTTTAATTTTGAATGTTAATATATCGATCATGGACATTCAGCTCTGGATCTTTTAGAAAACACTGAAGTGAAAGCGATAATAGGTCCAGAATCAAAGGCCGAAGCAAGATCCTTGGAGGTTTTGGAACTGGGAGACAAAGCTAACGTACCGATTCTTTCATTTTCAACAACTCCCTTTTTGAATCAGAATCCTAATCTTCTTCGAATTGCACAAGATGAAACCACTCAGTTCAAAGGCATTGCTTCCATGGTAGAATCATTTAAAGCAAAGAATTTGGTAGTTATCTGCGAGGACACTGCAAACGGGAGAGAAATGGCTAATTATATGGTTAGTGCATTCCAAGAGAAAAACATACACGTGACATTTACAAGCCTAATTTCAACCTCTGCCAGCCATGAAGAAATCATGGAAGAGCTTCTTAAGCTTCAAACTATGCAACCCATGGTGTATGTCATGCATACAACCCCTTCTTTAGCATCCAATCTTTTCTCCAGGGCAAAAAAGCTGGGCATGATGGGTGAAGGATACATGTGGATTGTAACAAGCAAGACTACCAACCACCTGGATTCCATGGATGCTGAAGCAATCGAATCGATGCAGGGGGCTGTGGGTTTCAGATCATATTTTCCTGCATCAAGGGAGCTTCACGAATTTGTTTCGAAATGGAGAAAGGAACATTATTCTTTGAACCCTTTTATGGAGTTGAAGGAGGTAGATCCTAATGGTATATGGGCATATGATGCAGTTTATGCACTCGCCATGGCTATTGAGAAGGAACATACAACCCTAATTGGCATGTCTTCATCAATCCGTGCATCACTTTTGGATGAGATGTTAAGAGTCAAGTTCCATGGTTTAGGTGGTGAATTCAGTCTTATGAATGGGAGGAGCACCTCCAAAGCCATGGAAGTTGTAAATGTGATTGGTAAAGGTGGTAGGAGGGTAGGGTTCTGGATGATGATGTCTACGAATGGTGAGTTTGTGAAAGAAATTGGAAAACGAAATTCTTCTTCAAATCACAACTTGGAAAGTATCATGTGGCCAGGTGGGACTGCAACCTTTTCAAAACGTAGGGTTCTACAAACGAATAGCAAGAAACTGAGAATTCTGGTTCCAGATTTCAGCACATTCCCGAATTTAGTACAACTTACTGTTGACCCAAGAACAAATGAATCGGGTGTGAGTGGATTTTGTTGGGATGTTTTCAATGCTGCGTTTAATGCCTTAGACTATGGAGTAGGGATTGATATTGTTCCTTACCCTTATAAGGATGGCCGTAGTTACAATGATCTAATCGACAAAATCTCTTTCAAGGTTTGTGTCTTTCTTGAGCAAAAACTGTAGTAATAAGGACACTTTGTCACATTATTTGTAGAAAATTAAGTTAGATTGTTTTTTTGCTAATGTGATGTCGGATTGTATCAGGAATATGATGCTGTTATTGGGGATATAACAATCACAGCAAATAGATCTGTCTATGTGGACTTCACATTGCCCTTCACTGATCTGGGAATTGGCACAATAGCCCACAACCCCAAGAAAAGCATATGGATCTTTTTAGATCCTCTTAGTGCAGATCTTTGGATCACAAGTGCTTGTTTCTTTCTCTTTTTGGGATTTGTCATTTGGTTTATCGAACATCGTACAAACAAAGAATTTCAAGGTTCAGCAAAACAGCAAATTGGTATAACCCTCTGGTTTGCCTTTTCGACCCTTGTTTATGCTCACAGTAAGCTTCATAACTCTTTTCTCTTATCTCAATTTACTAAAAAATTTGATCTTTTGAGCATTAATATCAATCTTCGGATTTCTAGCAAACACCCACAAAAACTTGGTGATTTTATACTGCAGGGGAGAAGTTGCAAAGTAATCTTTCAAGATTTGTGGTCACGGTTTGGGTTTTCGTGGTGCTTGTGCTCACATCAAGTTACACTGCAACACTGAGTTCACTTTTAACTGTACAACAGATTGCAATGAAGGAGACCTCTGTTGGATTCTTGGGTCTTTCTTCAGTAGGAGGAGTTGTCTTTAACAACTTGAACTTTGGGGGAACCAAAATAGAGAAACTATACACACCTGAGGCCTACGCGAAAGCATTAACAAGTGGAAGTGTTGATGCAATCGTTGATGAGATCCTTTACATCAAAACAGTCCTTTCAATGTATCCGGATTCTGACTTCTCCTTGATCTCAACAGCATCCACCACCAATGGTTTTGGCTTTGTAAGTGTACTCTATATATATAAGAGTCTTAATATTTTTGTCTTCTTCCATAACTCTATTTGGATCCTCTTTACGTGGCTGATGTAGCTAAGTTTGCAGGCATTCCAGAAAGGTTCACCCTTGGTCAGAGAGATGTCGACTGAGATAGCAAAGATGCGGGAACATGGGACATTGAAAGCATTAGAGGATAAATGGTTAAAACGTCAGTCTACAGTGATTTCAAAGGATTTTTCTTCCCCTTCACCAAAAATCTTGAATCTTTATGGGTTTCGGGGCCTCTTTCTTATCAGTGGTGTGACAATGGCTTTTGCTCTTCTGGTGTCGATGGTTCTTATTATTCGTGAAAACTTACATGTCAAAAAAAAGATGCAGATATGGAGGTGCATCTTAACAAGATCTTCCGAATTACATGCACAAGATAGAGATGCAGAATTAACAATTTGACTTATTCTTATAAAGTTAAATAGGATTCAACTATACGTAACATCTTCTATAGATCAATATTTGTATCAAATATATGTATAGTTTTGACTTCTTTTCTGAACTTAGCTTGTTAGCTATTTTTTTTTATTGAAAAACAGATCTCATAGTTACATAATTCCAAAGTTTAACAGGATCCGGTTAAATTCATACGGCATGACTCGGCTTCACTCGACCAAAACTACATTTTAGTAATGCAAATCTTGTGTATGGCTAAATGAGCAGAAGATCCTTCTTTTTGCATAAGTGAGCCAGAGAGAACATTGTTTTGTAGTTTTGTTCCCTTTCCAGGTGAGTGGATTTGTTGTTGTCACTGTCATACGTAGAAATCCACCACGTTCTTCCCTTCCCTTGGATGTAGTAGTCTTGCCAAATCATCTTCATTGGACCTTCTAAGGTGTTATTGACTAAAGCATAAAAGGAACCCTCTATTTCACCCAGGTAAATTTCAACCCACATACATATAGCAAACAGACACACAGGTACACATACATACATACAACACAAATCACAAAGACTACAAGCACATACAATCCTAGTGTCCTACAGTATAGGAAGGTAATAAAAAATTTTTTCGGTTTATTTTTTTAGCGAACAAAATAAATGAATCATTAGATGAATCAATAATAACATGATTCACAAAAAAAAATCCCGAAAAAACATTTCGATGATTCACTTTTACGATGATTTTGTTGATATTCACTAAAATTGTCATAAAAGTGAATTTTTTTCTTGATTTACCTAAAAATGAATCATAAAAGTGTTTTTTCCGGATTTTTTTCTTGTGAATCATCTTACTTTTGAATCATCTAATGATTCATTTCATTTTTTTCCTAAAAAAGTATGTATATAAAAAATTTCTTAACTTCCTATAAAAAATTTCCTTCTTATTTGATCTTGACTCTCTCTCTCTCTCTCTCTCTCTATATATATATATATATATATATATATATATATATATATATATATGTGTGTGTGTGTGTGTGTGTGTGTGTATGTATGTATTCATGTAGAAGTTTTAAGCAATGATTTCTCTTTATCAAACAAACATTTTATGGAATATGAATTACTTGAACTCCTAAGATTAATTCAAGTTTACCTAAATCTTTTATTAAAAAATACAATTTTAGAAATTCATTAACTCAAGTTGCCAACATTACACGAGAGGTCGAGGTTGAGGGAAAGGATGTAATAATGCAAGGTATGACCAAAACATTGTCAAATGTTTTAAAGAGATATAACATCTTGTAATGTCCCAAAAATCATAAGTAAAATTTCATTTTTAAACGATTCTAAAATCCATAAGTTACATCAAAACATAGTTTCTCAAAAGTATAAACATGAATCATAGTATCTGAAAATCATAACTCATATAAAATCCTGGAATATGTGTACAATCACACCTTCGCCTTGCCATTGTCCTCTAAAGGACCTGAAACCTTATAATCAAACTGTAAGCCAAAACTAAGTGAGTTTCCCCCAAAATAGACCACACTCAACCATATACAATGCATGCATATATAAAAGCCTACAGTTTGTCTGGACTGCCTCGCAAGGACTACAGTGTGCCTGGACTGCTCTACCAAGCCTACATTCGACCAGCCCACCTCGTAAGGCCTACAATAGTTTGGACCGCTCCAGAGCCTACAACATAAGGATGGACCGCTGCTTTGGGCCTACAATGTTAACTGGACCGCCCGAGTATCTTGGGCTTCAGTACCAAGTAAGACCACCTCACCGCAACAAAACAGTAACATGTCGACATATGTAATGATAACCAAAAGCCAACAAGTATAGGTAATCATACAAATCTATCACTCTAACATATAACTAACAGAGAATACACTAATCATACATATCTACCAGACTAATATATAATCAACATATCATCATCCCATATAACATGCTGCATAACCAAGTGGCCGACATTGGTGCATTCGACCCACGAGTTCAATGATGAAAACTCACCTCAATGTCTGAAAGATAGTTGAATTGAATGTTGCTCCAAATACCGGCTCTACGGTCACCTGTACAACATACAAAGAGCAAGACTCAATCTACTACTCAAAATACCCTAAATGACCTAAAGTCAAACTTGGTCAAAGTTAAGGATCAACGGTCAAAAGTCAAAAGTCTACTTCCAATGCCACACCATGGTTGCTAAATGACAAAGCAGATAGGTTCCTACCCAGTTGTCACGTCGTGGCAACCTAAGGCTATGCCGTGAGGACTGGTTTGAACAGCTTAATCCATTAAGCCATTTTCCTACGCTTTCAAGAGCTCCAAAGCTCAGATCTGGCAATTCCCATGATCTTGATGGATAAAGTTTCCAACATTATCCATCAAGACACCCTAACAAGTCAATATCCCAAACCTTAATTCCTTAAAGATGACTAAAATAATCAAGACACTCATTAAGAACCCAATCTCTATAGTTGCTCACCCAAAGTTTCCAGAAGGGTTTCTTACTCTTAACAAGCCCTAAAAATCATAGCTTTATGGATATGCATGTCCAATGCATGTCCCTTCCATTTTTAGGTCAAAAACATGGCAATTAGGACTTACACTTGAGCATGGAACCAAAAACTACATAGATCCTCTCTGGAACATATAACACTAGAATGATCACATGGATGCATAAAGTTGCCAACTTTATGAGATTCAACCTTCCAATTTCTCACGTCATGAAGACTTAGGGACCAAAGAGTTAGATCTAGAGATAAATAGCATAAGATTAGATCTTGGGGACTTACAAGAGTCCAGAAATGTGCTTAAGGTAGATGGGAAGATTTACTTGTTGAAACCAAGCTCAAAGATGCATTCTTCTTCTTTAAAATACCAACAAAACACATAAAAACTCAAAGATTAGCAATTGAGGCTAGCATTTTACTCTTGGAGGCTAAGGGAGAGTGAATGAGGCTGAGGAAGGGCAACCCTAGCCATCACATTCCCTTAAATAGGGGCTCAACCGTCGGATTAGGGGTTGTCATTAAACAACAGTCACACCGTTATGCTAACTTAAAGTCCACAAAAACTCTGGCCATGGTCATGCCATGGGACTCCATCACCCTGCCGTGGCCACCAGAGATCCAACATCCAAAATATTCAAATTGCTTAAAAGGAACATACCCAAAACTTGTGTTACACATCTTCATTATGTAAACAAATATGAAAATTCAACAATCAGGAAAATATGTACAGTGTGCAAGATATTAATGAGTAATGAGGATATTGGTAGCCGGATCAAAAAGTTCTCATAATCTTTTGTAAATTGTTCCGAGTTATTTTAATATTGTTAAAAGATTATTAATATCTAATCTCAAACCCAATTTCCCAAGGTCTTTTTTATATTTAATAGATAAAAATTGAATTTAAATTCAATTCACAACAATATAAAACAGATAAAACTAAAACTGGGCGTGGAAACAGGCCTAAAAGGTCCGGTTCATGTCCAATTTCCCAAGGTCTTTTCGTCCCAGTTCTCACAATCGGCTCGCGTATCTACTATCTAATTAAGGAACAATTATAACCAGATGCGAGAGATTAACAACCACGACCTTACTTGAACATGATGTGTTCTATCGCCTCCTACCTCTATATTCTTGATTCCTAAGAAGACAGAAACCTATGTCAGAGCTTTCACGGTTTAGGCCATACATGGCTCAATAGAGGATCATTGTCAGTCTCATCTGATGGGCTTTATGTTATATATCTCTTTTCTTCACGTTTAGTTTTTCATGTATATTTAAAGATAGCTCTAACCAGTCAATAGTTTTGACCAAAGAACCCCGACCAGGAATTTACTACTATAGGCAACGTCAGTATTTTCAAGGCGGCCTAAAATGGAAACTAGTTGAAGATCTGTCATGATTATATATTGCTTAAATTTGTTTATGTTCTTGTTTTACAGGACTCCATTATCTTTCTTCACTTGTAATATATAGTGTTCCTGATGAACCAAAAGCTGCAGAGAACTTGAACTTTGTGTTGCCAATGACGAATTGCAAGTCATTTCCATTTCTGATATTGCTGTTGCTTACCTTTCAAAGCCTTTTAACAGCACATGAAGATCCATCTTACAAGGACATACAGGTGGGAGTGATTCTCGACATGGATTCATGGGTAGGGAAGGTTTTTTATACTTGCATCACCATGGCTATTTCTGACTTTTATACAGCCAATCCTCACTATAGAACAAGGATAGTTTTTAAGACCAGGGATACCAATGGAGAACCACTGCGTGCCTTGTCTGCTGCTAATGTCTATTTATTTTTATTTTTTTGGTAAACATTAATATTGAACATTAATATTAAAATTCATGGACATTCATTCAGCTCTGGATCTTTTAGAGAACATAGAAGTGCAAGCGATAATAGGTCCAGAATCAACAGCTGAAGCAAGATTCTTGGAGGTTTTGGGAGATAAAGCTAACATACCGATTCTTTCCTTTTCAACAAGTCCCTTCTTAAATCAGAATCCTTATCTTCTTGGAATCTCACAAGACGAAACCACTCAGTTTAAAGGCATTGCAGCCATGGTAGAATCTTTTAAAGCCAAGAATGTGATCCTTATATGTGAGAACACAGCAAATGGGAGAGAAATGGCTACTTATATGGTTAGTGCATTCCAAGAGAAAAACATACACGTCACATATACAAGCCTAGTCTCAACCTCTGCCAACCATGAAATCAAGGAAGAGATTCTTAAGCTTCAAACTATGCAAGGCAAGGTTTTTGTCATGCATACACCTCCTTCTCTAGCATCTGATATTTTCTCGAGGGCAAAAGAACTGGGCATGATGGGAGAAGGATACATGTGGATTATAACAATTAAGATTGCCAATTTCTTGGATTCCGTGGATGCTGAAGCAATCAAATCAATGCAGGGAGCAGTGGGTTTCAGATCTTATTTTCCAGCATCAAGGAAGCTTAATAACTTTGTTGCCAAATGGAGAAAGGAACACTATTATTTGATCCCTTTTATGGAGGTTAAGGAAGTAGATTATAATGGCATATGGGCATATGATGCAGTTTATCCACTCGCCATGGCTGTTGAGAAGGTACAAACATCCTCAATCCGTGCATCACTTTTGGATGAGATGTTAAGAGTCAACTTCCATGGTTTAGGTGGTGAATTCAAGCTTATGAATAGGAGAACCATTTCCAAAGTCATGGAAGTTGTTAATGTGATAGGTAAGGGTGATAGGAGGGTTGGGTTCTGGATGATGGTTACTGGTGGTGAGTTTGTTAAGGAAATTGGAAAAACAAATTCTTCTTCTTCTTCTTCCAATCATGGTCTGGAAACTATCATCTGGCCAGGTGGAGCTACAAGTGTTAATCAAAAGCTCAGGATGCTGCAAATGAATGGGAAAAAGCTGAAAATTCTGGTTCCAGATTTTGGCACAATATTCCCAAATTTGTTACAACTGACTGTTGATCCCAAAACAAATCTATCATATGTCAGCGGCTACTGTGGGGATGTTTTCAATGCTGCTTTTAATGCCTTAGACTATGAAGTAGGCGTTGAGATTATTCCTCTCCCTTATAAGGATGGAATGACTTATAATGATCTAATCGACAAAATCGCTCTAAAGGTATGTGCCTCTTTTTAGCAACACGGTATCATCAAAGATACTTTGTCACACTATTTGTAGAGCAGTTAGATTGTTTTTTAATCACAAGGTATCAGATTGTATCAGGAATATGATGCTGCTGTTGGAGATATATCTATCACAACAAATAGATCTCTCTATGTCGACTTCACATTGCCCTTCACTGATCTTGGAACTGGGACAATAGCCCGAAACGCCAAGAAAAGCATCTGGATCTTTTTAGATCCTCTTAGTACAGATCTTTGGATCACAAGCGGTTGTTTCTTTCTCTTTTTGGGGTTTGTCATTTGGTTTATTGAACATCGTACAAATGAAGAATTTCAAGGTTCAGCAAAACAGCAAGTTGAAACAACCATCTGGTTTGCCTTTTCGACCCTTGTTTATGCTCACAGTAAGCTCTCTAAGTCTTTACTATAATCTCAATTTACTTAAAGATTTGATCTTTTGACCATTACTTTTAATCTTCAACTTTCTAACAAACACCCACAAAAACTTGGTAATTCAGGAGAGAAGCTCCAAAGTAATCTATCAAGATTCGTGGTTACTGTCTGGGTTTTCGTGGTGCTTGTTCTCACGTCAAGTTACACTGCAACTTTGAGTTCACTTTTAACTGTACAACAAATTGGAATGAAGGAGATGTCTATCGGATTCCTGGGTGTTTCTCCCTCAGTAGGAGTTGTCTTTAACAATGTGAACTTAGGGGGTGCCAAAATTGAAAACCTATACACACCTGAGGCCTACGTCAAAGCATTAACAAGTGGAGGTGTTAATGCAATCATTGATGATATCCTTTACATCAAGGCAGTCCTTGCAATGTATCCTGCTTCTGGCTTCTCCTTGATCTCAACAGCATCAACCACCAATGGTTTCGGCTTTGTAAGTGTTCTCTATATATAAGACTCTTAATCCTTTTGGCTTCTTTCATAACTCTAATGTAGCTATATTTGCAGGCATTTCAAAAAGGCTCACCGTTGGCCGGAGAGATGTCGACTCAGATAGCAAAGATGCGGGAAGACGGGACATTGAAAGCATTAGAGGATAAATGGTTAAAACGTCAATCTGCATTGATGTCAAAGGATTTTTCTTCTCCTTCACCAAAATTTTTGAGTCTTTATGGGTTTCAAGGTCTTTTTCTTATCAGTGGTGTGACAATGGCATTTGCCCTTTTGTTGTCCATGGTTCGTATTATTCGTGAAAAATTACATGTCAAGATTAAGATTCAGATATGGAGGTACATCTTAAGAAGATCTTCCGAAATACATGCACAAGATAGTGATGCAGAATCATCAGTCTAACTCAAGGTTCTAAAAAGCTCGCCATGGCTCACCCATGGCTCGCCACGACTCCAAGGTTTGTAGTTGCCGCCAATATTTGACAAATTGCCACCTTAAGTCATATATGTATATAAAAATGAATGATAGTAGAAAAAATAAATAAAATTATTAATTATATACAAACTTGCTGCCTTATGGCATGCCTTACAAACGACGTGACTCGCCATAGCTCGAAAAAACTTGAGGCTTGACATTGCCGCCAAGTCATGCCTTACGTTATTTAGAACCTTGGTCTAACTTATGTTTATAAAGTTAAATAGGATTCACTATACCTAACATCTATACATCTATATATATATATATATATACACATCTATATATATATATGTATATATATATATAATATTGACATCTTATCTAAACTTAGCTTGATAGCTATTTTCATTGGAAAATAGATCTTGTTAAATGTGACTTGAGAATTGAAGACATGAAATGAGAGTCAAAGCATTTACCAATACTATGGAGCATATAGAATTTGATGGAGCATCATGAGTCATGATGCTCCATCAATTTCTAGATGCTCCATAGTATTGTCAAATGCTCCGACTCTCATTTCAAGTCTTTAATTCTCAAGTCACATTTAACAAGATTTATTTATTCAATGAAAATATTAGAGCACTAAGATATGACAAGAATTCGTCTCTTTAGGCTCTTCCGATGAAGTGTGTGAAAAGCCCTTTAAACAACACACACACAAACTATATATACACAAGGTCTGCTGAAGGAGCGTACCGCACCATTTCAAAAGACGCGTCGTGTCTATGCGTGTATCGACCAAAACTTGCCATGTTTTGACTCCTTTTGCCATGTGTCTCGATGTCTCCACACGTGTCTACCACCCGGACACCTTGACGTGTCGTCGTACTCGATACACGCATCACGACCTGCCCATTGGCTTCCGTCGACCTCGACTTGACCCCATGCATCGTGCATATATAAGGACGCACGATGCCTTTCCTGAGATGGCAATCTACTTTAAAATTTATCATATACTCCTTACATGTCACAATGATATGCCGTGACACCTTTAATTCACATCTTCAAGCAAGAATAATGCTTCTATTTCTTCTTCTTGTTTTGTAAACAAGTTATATCTCTTCAAACTATACATGCTATGAAGAATGAGTACTACATTTGTGTTTCATGTTATACATCCTCTCCATGATATATAACCTAAGCTCCTCTGGCATGGGGATTATAGGTTTCTTTCTAGCATCCACTATGATAGCATGGGGATTATAGGTTTCTTTCTGGCATCCACTATGATAACATTGAAACTCTCCGAAGTCCCATTCTCCACTACTTCAAAACACCTGCTAGTCTCATTATATGTTCTTGACCATGTCTTTGGATCCTTGTCCATCAAGTATTTATGAGCCTTTAGACTTAGTGTTTCTATATCTTTCATAAAAACTATGAAGGCTTGTTCAGTTGTAGCATTGCATGCCTTCCAGAAACATTTTTCAAAATGTGCCCTCTAAACCTTTTTTTAAAGGCTGCAACAATGTGTCTTGCATATTGTCTATGCTCAACCTAGGGTAACACATCTTTTACAACGTCTAAAATTCATTGTCATAGTAATTAATGAAAAGGTTAAATATGATAAAATGTAAAGTAAAATACAAAAAATGATCATTATGGTTATATGAAATATATGGATCATGCCCTGAAAGATACTTTTTTTTTTGCATTTTTTATCCCTATGGTTTCAACTTGTTTAGAATCAAGTCCTTCTCACTAACATCATCAAAATAAAAGTATTAAACATGTTTAAAATTATGATGTTTCTCTTTCTTTACCCTACATCCTCATTGTCTTCTTCCCCATCCCAACTATTACGCCGGCGATATTCCTAACCCTCTTTGCTGCTTGTTTTATTCATTCCTCTGTTTTTGTGTATGTGTAAACCATTAAAATTACCACCCATTTCACTGATAATTTTGTTGATTTCCATCCTAATAATCACACACAACCATAATTGCAAAATGAAAAACATAATATATCAAGAAAAGACATCGTCAAAATAAAACAATGGGAGAACATTTGGTTAAAATTTGAACTTTGATTTGAATTTATGACAACTAATTACATGGTTCAATTAACATCCACCAGCTGAATTTATGAAATAGGAGAAAATTCAGTTTGAATATTCAACTAAAACATTTTCGTTATGAACTGCAAATATCCAAATATGTGCTCTCAAGTTGCAAACACTAGGATCATGAAATAGAAGAACATAACTTATATCGATTTTGTTGGAAATGGGTGTCTAATGACATAACTAATTAGTATAAGTTTCGGAATAATAACAAAATCTCTTTTGGGTTGCCCTCAAGATCTAAAATAGCTAGACTTAGTTAGAGAGATTAAGATTAATAGTTTATTAATTCATTACATATTAATAGAGTAATTAAAAACTAGTTAAAATTAATTAGAATTAATTTGGAATTAATTATATTTAATCTAAAGGTAAAGGGACTAAATGGTAATTGTTCAATACTTAAGAAACCTGAGTATTCTTGATGGTCCATAGAGTGGACAATTTTATGGAGGTTCCAGAAACCTTCCAAAAGTTATCCATGTAATAGATAAGGGAAAGATTCGAATAAGGATTAAATCAGATTATTTAATTAATGCAAATAATGGTTATCTGATAAATACCAAAGTTATATAAAGATCCCTCTAAGCCTTATAGAAACTGTCCATACTCTCCATAAGGTTGAGAAAACCGATTTTCTAACCTCTCACCTCTCTCTTTCTCTCTCTTAAAGTTCCAAGGTTTTTAGTCTTTTGGGTGTGATCCATTAGAGACATTCTACTTTGGGTGTTAGAATTTCCAAGAGCAACAAGGAGATCAAATTCATCAAGGAAACAAGTGATTAATTCGAGTTTCTCAAAAGCTTAGTAAACCACTCTCTTCTTTAGTTTATAATGCTAGTTTTGAAAGTATTTTGTCATAATAGTAAAACCTGGATCTTATGGTGCATGTACACTTAGGGTTTGTTATGAATGCTTCCGTTGCATAACATTTGTGTATAGATGGGTAGTACTTGTGTGTGTGTGTGTGTCTATAATTATATATATATATATATATATATATATATATATATATATATATATATATATACACAACCCTGATTAATGAGTTTCCACATGGTATCAAACCACACATATGACACTCCCCAAGCATCCTACCAGATCTAGACAAACTTCACTAGAATTCATCTTTTTTTTTCGGCGTTTTTCATGTTGTTCATCCTCTCGCCGCCCACTAAAACATTATGTTTCAAGAAGTTTCTTATTTTAGGATTATTGACAATAAATTGATCAAGTAAAGGCCTTGGGATTCAAGGGAATATGTTTTATACCGTGTTGGATGTAGATAATACTGATTATATAATCCAAGCTCTTGGTTTCTGTTTTGGAGTTAAAGGGTAAAATGGGAAAAACGATGTTTCAGACTTCTTTCATGAATTAAGGATTTTAGTTCGGTATGTTTTAATTCAAAGTAATTAGATAGGATTGTGGGGCTCTTCAATACTTTTTCGTGTATATAAAGAACGCTGAAAACGGAGTTGAAATGAAGAAGTTATGGATGTTTTAAGTTGAAGTGGAAATTAGGGATTTTTGGATTACATAGGGCATAACTAATAGTTACACAGGGCGTAACGGGGTTTAATGAATTTACACATGGAATAATTAACAATTATGTAGTGTAATCTGGGCATATCAAAATCCTAAATCTATGGTTTTGAGCCTTGTTTAAGGGTTCTAACTTATAGGAAACCCTCTCATTACCAGCCTCCATCACCTAAGATCATTCCTTGAGAAACCTTAGCATTCTCTCTCTTGTTTTTGAGCCTTGGCATAATTTATGAGCTTATTTGTCCATAATAAGGTTGATTATTGAAGAGAAAGGTGGTGGCAAAGTGTATAGAAGAGAAGTTCAAGTATAGATCCATCAAGATGACATCCTTCATGGGCCATTGTGAGTAAAGAGCTTCTAACTAGCTCATTGGTTTCATAGATCTAGCTATTTGTCATATTTGCTAGTTTTTCTTCATTTTAGTGCATAAAGTTTGGGTCTTGAAAGTTTGTAACCTTGTTATGGATAAAGTTGTAAACTTTATCCATCTACACATCATAATAATTCAGATCTGAAGGTTAGAGACATGGACTTAATGGATTAAGATGAGAAAAAAACATTTTTCGTCCTTTCGAGAATTAAAGATTAGATCTTGGTTGTTTGGACCACCCTAATCGATAAAGTTGGAAACTTTATCCATTATGGAGCTATTAGGAACCAGATCTAAGCTTTGTGTGAAAGGTCTTAATGAAATAAGTGCTTAATGTGAGTATTAGAGCCTGAGGTAGTACGCATGCCCCGCGTAGCCTGTGGGAGGCTCATTTTCCAGAATTAAGGCTCAACACCCAACGTAGAGTATGCAACGCGTAAGTCAACAAAATGTTAGATGTTGACTTTTTGACCAATTTGACTTTTGGTCAACTGTGAGGGGTTTAAGACTTGGAAGAGCAAAATGTTGTTTTTGCCCAAATAAGGGTTAGCCTTGATTATTTTGACTTGCTAAGTTGGAAAAATTAACTTAATTGTTAATTGGGGTTGTTGTGGATATGTTTAATGTGAGAAGCTTTTGGTAGCAGCAACTCGAGTGTGAGTATTATGCGGCTAACGAATGAGGTGAGTCTCCTTACAGTATGTGTGGGTCAAAGGCACCAATGTTGGTCCATTGATTTATGTTTATAGAATGTTAGCTATCTGTATGACTCTTGCATGTACTGTATGTGTTTGTATGTATACCAGGCGGGACCCGACGCCAAGCGGGGCCCACCACATGTTATTAACAGATCTGTAACGAGCGGGACCCGATGAATGCCGAGCGAGGCCTGATGTATGTATGGTATGTGCTATTTTGGGGAACTCACTAAGCTTTGTGCTTACG